GCATATGATGCAATCAGGATCGTTGCGGAATCGGAATAGAGAGAGCGAAAAGCTTCTTCTCCGGCGATTGCGTGAGCTCTCTCGTATTTCTCCCATGACTCAAGTCGAATAGTAAAATTCATTTCAATGACAACTTTTCAGCAGGGAGGCAATTCTTCTCCGCCAGAATCCCTCGCTCTTTCTTCGCGCCGAGCTTTCTTTTTACTTATTTCACATATCATTTCTAGACGCACACATGTGTATGGATGGGGGGATCTTTATTTGTTTTTCTCGGTGATCATTTTTCGCTTTTTGTTCTGGTTTTGGTTTTTGGTCACCTCAATGCCAATTCGATCTGGCACTGATGTGGGTGGAAAAAGAGATCAGGCGGCGCTAGTTTTCCTTCTGATCGGCGATCACTTTACGAACAGTGACTGAACAGCTGTTCGAGGGGATCGATCGACAGCAATCAATGGAAATGAGGATCGATAAACATCCATCTGGATCACGGTTGACTCGGGCAACCTCAAACCTAGATCCTACGGGCTAATGATTGATGATCTAGCCCAACGATATTAGAATAGAAAATTCCTGACTGCCAAAAATAAAGATGTGAACTTCAAGAAAACATCGATGAGCCAGATAATGCGAGCAGCCACAAAGCACAAAAAATAAGAAGCATAAAACACATACATACATTTGTAGTAGACGAAATACTCGCACTCTAGATATAGATAGATAGCCAGAGAAATGCCACATCAAATCAATGTAGTCGGCGTCCTTCAGAGCAATGCGATGCGAAAATCTTTAGCTTTCAATGCTAAAACCCAATACAAACGCCACTGGCAATAGGAGTGCATTATAAAAATGTACCGATTTGTAGGAAATTTATCAAATCCATAACGCTGACAAAAGAAATTATGATTAATGTCAACAGAATTAAAATTTCCTCCCCTCTTTCAGTCGTGTCACATTGCGACACAAAAATTATTCATAATTTTCAAGCCAATTACAAAATTACAGATGCAATATTTTTGGCAGAAATATGTGTGAAATGAAAAAAGAAAAGAAAAATTCATAAACACCCTCTACAAGGGATCGGACAAATACTTTTCATAATGGCTTGAAGCGCTTAGAATATTTGAAATTTAACAAAACAACAATATGTAGCGGAAAAAGAATACGCAAAAAAACAAAAACGCAGAAAATCTGACAAAAACAACTTTCAAACATTTTTTGGGAATATTTATAGTTTGAAGAGTCTCAGTTCTCACTCAAGTGTGAGTGCTTTTCCCCTTTTATTCTTATGGGCTGGGGGTGCTGCTCTCAATTCTTTTCTCACATATAAAGTTATCATAATTTCTTGTAGGTTTCTGAAACAAAATCTGTGACATTGTCAACCAGAATTGTGGGTACAAAACAAAAACTAGAAATTTGAAACAAAAAAATAACAATTTAATTAAAGAGACAAAATTATTTTAGGATTTATTTTTCATTTATGCAAAGTTGGTGTATAATCCAAAGCTAGAAACCCCTTATACATTTATTAGTATTTTTAGAGAATAAACGTTTAATGGTCATAAGTAATAGCTTTTCCCGGGTGCGATTTTAAGTTATTCTATATGACTACCCGGCATCCTTGCAAATATTCAAATCCATTTTTCTGTTCCCAATTCGTAATAAAAAAAACAAAAACACATTTTCGTTTTGAGTCATTGACGCAAAGCAATTTTGCAATTTAGTGTCAAGATAGTGATGCTTTTTTTGTGTATTTTGGCACTGGCGGTCTCCCTCCCCTTTTTCAGGGTGTTCGAGGGGGTGTCTAAGGGGTGCTTGTCTACACGAGGCAGCAACAATTATTGCTTGCAATGGGCTATTTCAAAGCTGCCGCCACACTGCGATGTGCGAGGTCCTCCTCCGCACCTGCACCACCAGCACCGCTGAGTTCAGCACCACCCATCGTTGCTGCCAAGAAAAAAGACACTTTGAATGGCATTTTTATTTGGGGGGTAGATAAGAGGGATGGTTGTGACAGAAACGCAGATCACAGAGAAAGCGTAAAGCCTCAGGAATACACCTGAACCCCTTAATGTCGGTCAGTGGATCATTTGCAAATGGCTTTTCTATAACGCTTCTGCTTTTTTGCACGACGGATCATAAATCATCATCAACGATGACAATATCAAAAACTTGACCCATATTTGAAATAGTCCCAAAAAAAGTATTATTTTTCATTAAATAAATATAATTATCATATTTATCATTAACTTCATCAACTTAAAAAATCGTTTTTTTTTTAAATCTGGAAAAGTGCCTTGACCCAAAAAAAAAACCATCCATGAATTCTTCTTCTTGATGTATTTTGTGTCGCTAAAATAATGTACATTTCTCAAGTTTTGGTCGATACTTTTAATTTTATACAGCTTTAATTCGGGGCTTAAGCAGAGACGGATCCACAATTTTCTTGTGCATAGTTTTTGAATACCATACTTCTATTCAGCCCGAGAGGAGGGATTTATATCCCGAATCTGCACATGGTCATAAGTCTTGTTCATTTCTCAGTAGCCCAACTTTCTAATAGAACGTTGCTATTTGCTATTATTAACTATTAACTATTTTGTTAGTTTTCTTTAAATATTCCTTACTAAAATAAAGCCATTTTATTTTAAATTTTTTTAAGATACATTAGAGTATATTAAATACTAAAGAATAACAAGATTTTATACAAATTCATTTAGTTACAAAATTGTAATTACCTTTTGGAGAAAATAATATGAAAGGTCAGCAATTCTTAAAAAAAAATGCGGTTCATTTAAATAAGAAAAACATTTAAAGAAAACCAACAAATAAAATCATTTTTAATAGAAACTTTTTATTAAACTTTCAAAAAATATATATTTAGCACTTATTTACTTAAAATATCAAAACCTAAATAAAAAAATTGTAATTTAATTTCCGATATCGAACTGTAAAATCTTTTCATTCAGATGTGGGTGTAAATAAACCCTTCTGTGTTAACATCCCGCCCAATTAGTTTGTTTTAGATATGTATATCAGTAACCCTGCCCGAAATTTTTTTCAAATGGTATTCCCTAAAAATTTTGCACCAATTGGTCCACACAGAATGAAAATATTTTAAAAACGCCAACCGTGACCAAAATACATATATAGTCTATAGATAACTCTCGTCTAAATGCATTGGAACCCATCCAAATTGTCGATATAAAAATATCCATCGTCGGCCAGTTGCTCCGCAGTCCCCAAGCCCCAACCCCCAAACCGTAACTCGTAATCCTCGAGCGCCGATCGTCGGTCAACGTTGTGTACTCGGCATCTGCATCGCATCTCTAGTGCACCGATCCCATGCCCACATCCACTTCCAATGCCCGAGAGATCTCTCTTAATTTCGCAAAAGATTTAGCAAGGTGGGGAAAGGAGGAGTAAGGAGGTACGTTGCCAGGTAGCACATGGCATGACAAATGTAGGAATACTTCCTCAATTACGTGTGGGTTATGCAACAGAGCTCTGGCCACCCTACGAAATATCTGGTAATTGAACATCTCGGCAAATTCCTTTCGAAGTGGAATGTGGATGGACGGAAAATCTGGCATATGCACTTGCAACTGTCAATCCTACAGTTATTATAATTGCACATGTACTTAAATGCTCTTTGTTCTATGATTGATCACTAACAGAGAAAACTGATGTTCTACGCATAAAAAAAAACAATAATCTTTAGAAAAATATATAATATTTTTAAGTATAAAAGTTTCTAAAAAAAAAAAATGTTCTTAAATATTTTTTTAAACATTTTTTTAAAATTAAATGAAGCATGAGCGGATACACAGGAGGTGATATGGGTTATATATCACCCCCCACTCAGGGGAAAAATTTAAGGAATTTTGGTATTCAAAAAGTATGAAACCAACAAAATTTTCAGATATCACCCCATTCAATAAAATCCTAGATCTGCCACTGAAATGAAGATACCATATTTTTTTTAGGTACCAATATCCTTTGACTAAACAAATATTATAATTAAATTGTGATATTAAAATAATGATGTTTAAAATAAATAAATAAAAAAGAATATCTCATAAGTTATTTAATCTTCTGCTATAAGTACTGGAATATTTAAATACTCATTTATAATATTCGGAATCGGGATATTACTTCTCAAACGTGACACAAACTAAGGATCTTTTTTGGGAAAAAAAACATTTAAAAACAAATACTTTACGCACTTGCTCAAACCCCATCAGTTAGCTTATAAGTTGTAATAAGCTAGCTTAATGGTCCAATTAATTAATTAAATGAATTAAACGAAAACGAATAATGAAAATTGCCACAGAACCCTTTTCTTAAATGTGTGATATCGTTTTGGTGAAACTATTTTCATCACGGCTGTTGTGGTTTCTGGCCAAAACCAATCCCAAAATGTTTATTTTCCTAATACACAATTTCGTTTAGATATTTATGCAATCTATAAAAAGGAAAACGTTTTCCAGCCCTCAGCTGGGTGTTGATGTGGACCCGTGTGGTCTGAAATGATTAATTGCCTTGGCTCAATTGAAAATCGTACACGCATAATGCAAAACCGATCCGCAGAAGATTTCTCTACTTATAAATGAACTCATAGTTGTATGTAGATGCCATCTATCGGTAATTAATTAGGCGATCCAATCGAATCATTTAGTATTAGTCACTGATGTGTGGAGCATTAAAAATTATTTCTGTGAGCATTTGTCACCCAATTAAACTGACTGCAGCCAAGTACCCCAGGCAGCCAGCCATAGATTCGACTATATAGCCACTACTATACTATAGAACTCAAGTGCAGCGAAATGCAATAATCGAAGTCTATATAGCGTCGAGACTTTTATTAATGATGAGTGAAAATGGGAAAATATTAGAACATTTGAATAGTTCCCATTTTCACGGGGTGGCCAAATCCCCCCTTCGGACGCCTCTGCGCGTAATGTGTGTATGCGGTCTGATTAATCATGAACAGCCATAAAGCCACATAGCCATATAGACAGCATGGAAATGAGTCAGTACCGAGCCGAATGTAAAAGTATTTTTCGATTTTGTTTTTAGAAATTTATGAGCGACATGCAAAGTGTATTTTTAAAACATATTTCATACTCCACAAAAAGCGAAGGAAGAATATTCCACATATGTATTTGGGTCGGATCGAATATGTATAATAAGTTTTTTGAAAGTTTTAGGGGCAGATAATATAAAATAATGAAACGGCAGGTAGAGTTCTTCATACAAATATCGAATGTAGGACCTCGTACTAGTTGAATAAACATATGTACATATATATATTATATTTGGTGGATTCTTTATATACCTTGCCAGCAGCATACCTACTGAATCTAAAAAACATTTCATATGCGTTTAATATAGCCGCCGCTGTGTTCTAAATTTAAAGCAAAAGCTATTTAGTTGCGAAGAAGTTCAACACAAGCGAACGGAACGGAACGTTCGCTCTACTCTGCAGTTCTCTATGTATACGAGAGTATCTAGAATTTAGAATTTACTATGTAGATTCAGATACACAGTCGCTCACAGGGCCTGCGTCCTGGGCACTAACTATACGGATCCACGGGCGCAGAACGCATACGCCGTGTGGTACGCGTACACGGACCGACAAGTCCGTCAACATATCTCACAGATACGCCAGATACACAGATCTGATGCGATCGTATCTGTATCTGTAAAGAAACTTTTTCTTTTCTTTAATTTTTTGCCGTGCTCGTCAGCACGTCCATATCCACGTTGTGTTGGTGTTTTCATCTCATGAAATGTTTCAATTTGTCTATTTTTAGTAGCAAGTTTCTTTTTGTTTATTAGTTCTTCTTTTTTTTTTTTTTTTCTTTCTTGACTTTCCCAGCATGTACATAACGTTGTATATAGCTTTGGATATATAGCAGTGGGTCGGTTTGGGTTGGGATCTTTTGGCTGCTCTGATTTAACGTCACAACTGAGGAATGTCTTCTACTCGATCTAGCTGGATCCGCCACGCATTGTTTGTTTGTGCCCCGAAAGCTTCGACCATATATCCCGATGTGTTTATATAGTTTCCATATACATAGCTCGCTAATGGCTAGGTGTTTGCATAGATTTCGCTTTGGCTGTCTATAAGGTCAAACTATGCCCGTGCGAGAGGTGCTTTGATGATAGGCTAAGGTATCGCAAATGGGTCTTTATGTAAGGCATTTGTATAATGGGAATTGTTTTTGAAAGGCATAATATCTGGAAAACCCTTTATATAAGGCATTCATTTGGAATGGGATTTGTTTTTGAAGGCACATTTTTTATATTTTACCATACTATCTGCCAAAACCCTTATCTTTAATTAATTAATTATGGGTAATGTTACGCCTAGATTAGCGATACTAAGCGTTTTGTAAACAACAGGGATAAACACGGCCACACACATATGTCCTGCTATAAAATACCCATCGATGGGTTGCATGGGTTAGAGCTTTATCGCCACCACGGCACGTAAATCAATATTAGTCTTATCTTGACCAACTGTGAGAATTTGCACAAGCCGCACACAGGCCAAAGATATTGGCCCCTGAGCCATGACAGAAATGGGTATCCATATCCAGCCAGCTCACTCGAGTTTCACTTTCCGCACGCCATGGGTTACTGGTCGGAGACTCGGGCCTGGATCTTCCGTGATCCCGCCAAGCTCATCCGCTATTTGGTACTCTTCGCCTGCTGCATCGTGGTTATTGTCCAGTTGTACGAGTGCTTCGCCAAGCTCTACGATCCGCCCATTTCCACGCATTCCTACTACAGCCTAAACGAAACCATTGAAATGCCTGCAGTCACCATATGTCGGGAGCCACCCTATAAGGAGGAGGTGCTAACGGTTAGTGGAAGGTTGCAGCGGGGTTAAATCGTTATTAAATCGAAATATATTCCTGTAGCGCCTTTCCGGCGGTGCCTGTCCGCATCCAAAGTATGCCACCTGCTGGATGAACTATCCTTTTGGGGAAATATCTCTGGAAGAGTTCTTCGAAAATAGCACGCACGATATGGGCGACACTTTTGTATTTTACGGACTGAACGAAAATCCAAATAGTATGTTAAAAAAAATTATAATTTGTGTAAAACCCTAAACCTACATTGATTTCACTTAGACGTGGTAATGAACACCAGTCTACATTTTTATATGGGTCGCTGCTATACCCTTAGGCCCAAGGAACCCGCCAAGAGAGTATCGAGAGCGGTGGGCTACTCCCTAATGCTGGAACATTCCATGTTGACCACATCCACCAGCGATGTGGATACAGGTGGTGTGGGTTGGCATGTCTTTATACACGACAACAAGGAGAATTTTACAGGTAAGCATACCATAAATTAAATCCAATACGCATAAGCTGTAGCTATTTCCATCTAGAAATCAATATGAAGGGTTCGGGGCGTGTGGAATATGTTTTTGTAAGCGTAAATGAGGAAATTGAGATCAAGCTTCAAACGCAGTACTTCTCCAATGTCCAGACTCGACAAGAGGCTTGTTCCAATGATGAGGATTACAGTGACTTAAAGGTAGGCTTAGAAACAATAGTATTATAAGTTAAGTTAACTTTCAGAATTCCACCAGTGTGGTGAGCAGTGCATCTGGCAGGATTTGGCTGATAATATGCAGTGCTCGGGACCTTGGATGCATGAAATTGCGAGTGAGCCCTGCAACGACTCGGTTTCCATGAGAAAATTAATATCGGACTATAAGGAGTAAGGATATGCATTTAATCTAAAATTTTAAATTTTTAATTTTGTATTCTTTAGTGTTTATGAAAATGAGGATGACTTTGACTGCGACTGTATTCAGCCCTGCCAATCGAGAATCTACACAACCTTCATACAGAACCGCAAGACCTTCAACCAACCAGAGCCCCGCACCCAAATCTATATATACTACACAACCAAACTGATATCGGTGGGTTCCCGCAATAATATGATGCATCGAAATTAGCTTGAACATGTTACGATCCATTTGCAGATGATTGAAGAGCGTCCCAGCTATGACACCACACAATTCATAGCAGATGTGGGTGGTTCCCTGGGATTTCTGCTGGGCCTGTCTGTCCTGGGGTTGATTGGAATACTAGAACACGTGGGACTGGTTATCCTCTATTGCTAATTGATATTCATAAATAATCTTTCCTTCCAGATGACCCTCTTTTTCTGCGGCGGATTCATTAAGAAGATGCAGCAGAAGGAGCAGGCCAAGTTGGCCGCGAACTCCGAGGATGGTCAGTCCCAAACCAGCGATGAAACCATCGATATAGCCATTGTCTATAAAAAGAAGGAAAAACAGGAGAAAAAGCAAACTAAATATTGAGTCAAGAACCAAGCTGGCTTGGTTTAGCACTTCTTACATTTAATCAACATCACGAAAAAAGTTACGGTTTCTTAGCCTACAACTTAACATAATACAGATGCACTCAAATAAAAATATTTCGTACGTTTAAGAAAATCGAAACAGAACTTTTCCTTTAAAGATCTCTTACAAAATAATTTCAATCCCTAAAGTGCCGAAAATATATTTCATTCGAGTGTGCAAGATACTTTGTACCGCTCTGGGGATCTAGATCCTAAAGCTCATCAGCAAACACAAGCCCACAATCATCAGGGAGCTCAGTTTCCCCAGGGAAGCAGCTGAATTCACCTTCACCTTGATATTCGTGTTCAGTATATCCCCAAGTTTGTTGATCACATCCGGCAGCGGGGAAGTTCTAATTTCGCAGGCTGTATTCTCAATGGCCTCCTTAACACTGGCAGTTAAAATGCGGAAATTAATGGAGTAATGCAATTCGTCGTAGATGAAGACGGGTAGCTTATTGGAAAGAACCCAAAGACGCTGCTGGTCATCCACCTTGATGTCACTGGGGAATACCAAAGTGTCGTTGCTCCTGAAGATGCGACTCTGAGAACTGTGACTGAAATCGGTGGCTGTGCGCCAGCAGGCAACTTCATTTAGATTGGGCAGCGCGTAGAAAAGGACACCGGTGGCAGGATCCAAAAACTCCGCTCCAGCCTGAGTGTTCGGTCCCCTCGAACCCAGAACTTTAAACTCCCGATATATCATCGCCGATGTGGCCAATGTTTTGTTCCGCAATATCGCCGTATCCACCGAGAACTCCGCCGTGGAGCAAAGTGGATGGAAGTACAAGGTGGAATAGCCCGTTTCCAGAGGCTTCGACAGAGCAAGACCATATAAGCCATCATCCCACTGGAACTCAATGCCATTGATGCTGAAGTTACCGGCCATCGGATCGGGGTGGAAGAAATGATGCTGGACTCGCCACGACTCCTGGTCCTTCCACGAGTAAACCACCAGGCCGGGACTGCCCAAATCGGCTGCGTAGGCATAGGTGTTCTCACAATCGGAGTCCTCAACCGCCAGATTGGCCAACAAAGATCCCTGCTTCAACTGACCGGCGGGCAGGATGTGCCGTCTCAGCAGATCATCGTTATGCAGATCGTAGACCAACAGTTGGGCTGCCCCGTAGATCTTCGTCTGCTCCAGGACCCCAGAGATCCGAGAGTCCAGCACCCAGAGGCGTCCGCACCGATCGGCTCGCACGCGGAATGGAGAAACCAACTCGGGCTCGGCTTCTTGGAGACTGTGAGCCTGCCAACTTGGGTAGGGCTGCAGGACGGGACTCTTGCTGGATGTATCTGTAAAAAACAAAAAGTAAAATGGGTATTTTAAAAAATTTTTAATTTATTTAATAAATTGTTTTTATTTAGAAATATTTGTAAATAAAAAATTTAGACAAAAGATCTACATAAATATAAGCAGCTTTATTGAATAATCAAATGATGATTGATTTATGATATTTAAAAGGCAAATAAATAATAATATGATGGAAAAATATTTAAAAATCCATGAATTGAAAACAAATTAAATTTTTTTGTCGTTCTCAGAAAATAAAATACCGTTTAAAAAATATTATTGTATTGTATTCTCACTGACATTGAATACTTTTTTAATATTTTTTACAACCTCTTTTTATTAGTTTTTTTTATATTTGTATTATATTTGAAGGTTTTTTTTTATTGTTAATATTTCTCCCGTCAACGGACTTTTTATATGTTGTGTTGCACTTAAATTTATTAATTTGCATTGATTGTTTGTTTTGGATGCCGCTAATTGGACTGTTGGAAAAATTTGGTGTACATTTGTTGACTGTTGGTGAGTAATTCGCACAAATTTGCACATGTCTAAACTGATTAACTGACTAATAAGCCGAGATTGAGTTGTGGCTAAGGCAACGGCCCACTTGCCTTGTTGTTGTGCCGATAAAAGGTAAAGTAACTTTATTTATGTACTAGAAATTGAATACAATGTATACAGGAGTATTTAAATTAAGCACACTTTAAGACGAATATCTGAGTTTATAGCAGTTTTAGAATCTGAGATATGACTTTAAGAGTACATATCTCAAACAACTAGTGGACTTGTTATGACCAAATGTAAGTGTTTATTGTCTACTTTACAGCCCCCACACTGAACCCCAAGTGAACCCCAGTATATGTACAATGTATATATCCAGTATGAACCGATTTGTGGTGTGCGGTTGTTGTCAGACAGTTAATGACGCCAGCGAGCGGAATTATCATGCTAATTGCCGCAAGTGCGAAAGGAAACAGAATTGTTTGGATGGTCAAGTTGATCAGACAAACAATTGCCGAGCTGTGAGATCTGAGATTTGAGATCCCAGATCAGTTCTTGGCACACATAGTGCAACTGCATGGGGCAATTATATTCAAATTCAAACGCAAATGATGTGGCAGCTGCAACAATGCAACTCATGCGCTTACCATTAAGATCAAGGTAGGCCAACGAGGCCGGCACTCCGGCCCGCCATCTGGGCAAAGTGACGAAGAGTCGGTGGCCGGCGACCTCCAGGCCAAAGGGTATCACATTGGCCGGCTTGAACTCGCCCCTCTCGATGGCCGACCATCGCTGGTCGGGGCTGTCGTACTTGAAGTCCATTTCCCGCCACTCGTAGGCCACGCGAAGATTGTCGTTTCCCAGGGAAGAAACCGCCCACAGAAGGAGCAGTCCACAACTAAAGCGCAGCATGGCTCCAATAAATTCACTGTAAATACCGAAAAAATCAATTAATATTAGCCGCTCTACTCATTTAAGCTTCCGTTAAGCCACAATGGCCTTGTCCAAGCCATAAACATAAAGTCAGCCAGATTAGACACTCGGCAAAACCAAATTCGGATTCATTTAATAAGGTAGCGATTAATAAATCAAATATTTCAACAATTTTGTATAATAAATCTTTGTTTATTTACTCTGGATTTTTCTAGATTTTTTTCTCTGTCCATTTGTATTCTTATAACGCTGAGAATCATTCAATATTTTGTCACTTGGACCAGCCTCCACCGTCATATACTTGGCCTTCTTATTCTCCGTGTGAGTCACATTTTGTTATGTCTTTGGTTCACTTGGTTATTTGAAAGTTGCCTTTGGTCTGTTTCAAGTCGGCCAAATTCTGACTAAGTTGCCAAACAACAAAGATTTTTTTCTGGTTAAAAGCGAGTCTTGAGGTACATTATCTAACCACGAGATCAGAACATTTTCGAGGAAGTTCAACGATGTTTTGTATACCCTTTTCAGGGGGAATATTTTGGTATACCAGTATACTTATTACTTTAATTTTTCTAAAAATATATAGAAGAAGCAATAAAAATAATTATCAAAACCCATTGAACCTTTCTCCTTCTTCAGCACCTCTCAAAATGTCTGGCACATCACTCAAACTTTATTTTTAGAGTATCTTTACCATCTTTGTATCTCCGTGTCTCAAGCACTCGACCTCATCATCAAAATTCAAGCTGAGTCTCGCAATTCAGGCATTAGCATTTCAATGGGCGCACTCCGACTGACCGCCATTCTCTTTGATTGTTCCATCTAATAAATTTTATTGATGATATGGGCATTTTTTTTCGATGATATACGTTTTGTGCACGCATTTTTCAAGTATTTTAAGTGAGTCAGCTTTAAAGTACTTTCTTAACATATTCCCTTTCCGATTTTCGGTTGGGGGCGTATCTAAGCGGTATGTTTGTGAAAATGTAGTTCCATTATTAATGGTTTTTAATCAGGTTTCACTGCAGTGGGGCTTTCCATCCTTACTCAACTAGTTATTTTTATTTGATTTATTTTTGTTACAGTTTTTGTGTTTTTTTGTTACAACCCAGTTGAGGACAATTGTGAATGGCAACTCCAGTTATGCAAACCCTATCGTCTGGCGCGACTGAAAGTTTGTGTCTCGAATCTTTCGTTTGGCCCTGTTTTCGGTTTTATGACCATTGAGTTTATTTGATTTGCTGGACTAATCTTTACTAAATGTCAACAGTTCGGGTCACTTAACACACCTTTTTTCAGATCACTAAAATAGCGGAAACACAACCGCCAGTGTCGAGACTCGAAACGAAACTAAAAGTCAAGTGAGCCGCCAGTCAAGTCAACTTTTCTGAGACCGGTCTGCGTGAGTGGTTCCCGCTCCATGTGGCTCTCTTGGAATTCGACTGAACTTGAATTAGTCAGCCGCTTAGACGGTTTAGCACGTTGCAAATGAATTAAAGTAATTTTTGGCACGCTCCCTGGGCTATCCCACAAATAAAAATAATAATATACAAATCTCCCACGCCATCCGATATTAATCCAGCCATTAAAGTCTCCAGCTGTGGCCCTGTGATTGACTGACAAGCCCCTGAAAATAGTCCCACACCGCTTACAGCCGTCACAGGCCTACCGATTAATTATGATTGACCCATAAATATGAAAAGATAGTAGTCGAGCCAAGTCCAAGTAATTTCTGTATTTTAATCAATATTTGAAATTCAATTTTAATTATCTTGTTTGTTATTCATCATGGAAAGTTCCTGGCTTCTGATTTCATTCATGGGCAGCAGAGTGAGTGATATGTCTTGGGGATAGCCCAATGAGTCATCGGAGTTGTAAAAAGACGATAATAAAATATGAGGAATATGTATTAAATATTCTGCATTTAAGTCCAATCTGAAACCCAATCCATCCAAGAAAACTCAAGTACATATCTTTATTTTTATTCGATTTATTAAAATTTCAATAAATTAATTTCAAAAGAATAGAGAACAATCGAAACATTAAACTAGAAATATTATTTTTATGCATTTTTGTTTTCCTAATAGTAGTTTTTGCTTTATATTGGTTTAAAAGAATTTAAACAATTGCTTATATAACTTGCTTGTATATTTTCTTTTTTTTTCGTTTTGGTAAAAACATTTTACGTACAAGAATGCTAAATATATATATTTTTTTGTTTTCCTCCTGGTTTTTGCATCTTTTCATTTACATGACAACATTAAAAATGATTTAACATATTCAAATTTGTTGGTTTTTTGATTTTATGCATTTGCTTTAAATATAGTATAGGCATTAGCTAAGTATTTGTGTGATTATAATTGTTGAACGAACAGAAATGGATAAGGAAAAATCGAATTGTTAATTCCGAAAGCTTGAGTTAAAAGTAAATGCAACAAAAATGGTTTAAAGCTTATGAAAAATATAAACATGGTTAACATTTATATTTAATCAAAGATTAATTATTAAAAAAAACTTTGGTCGAAAGCTTCAAAGATCTTTGGCAAAACAAATTCTTATCGTTTATTAGTTTGAAAATTGTTCGATCTTGAAATACTTTCCCAAAAAAAGTAGTTGCAACTATCAAAGCATTGTAGATTAATTTTACATTGATAAATGAGTAAATCAACACTAAACAAAATGTGTAACAAACATTATCGCAAATCTCTTTCGGATCCATCATTATACGGATGCTCTGAGAAGTGGTGTAGTCGATGTGGTTGGTGATATTCTGCCGCCGGGTTGTGTGGATTGTACAAGACGCGCAGTATGCAAAGGCGGTTCGTCTGATACCGATAGTTATAGCTATAGTAGTGGTGTTATGCGGTGTGGATATAACGATTGAGTGGTCGCAAGACAAGGACCGAAAAGTCCAACAGTTAGCTCGATAACTGTGATGTGCCCTCGCCTCAGAGTTACAATATACGGGACCAGGCCATTCGTATATATCCTGACTAGACTCCGGCACATCGCCTGCGTCCGATTCGAACTTGTACTTGTGTGGTCGGAAGGCATACTCTTCAGGGCATGCAAAACGTAATCCAAAGATAGACATATACCACTTATTTATAGATATAGATAGAAGGGGGAGGACGGACGCAGGGGACTTTTCGCTCAGCAAAATTAATGTGACACGCTTTCGACTGAACGCAGCAGACATTTACGCTTGGATCTTGGATCGGTTGTGTGGGGTTTAGTATTACAGTGACTGCCATTTGTTCAGCTACTCGCGTGTCGCCCAGCGCAAAGACAGACAGAGATTGGTGGACTAATTTGTAAATTTTAAAATTTAATTCTTAGTTCCTAGGTTTCTTTTCTTTTCGCAAAACACCTAAAGCCCATTAAATGTTAACAAAACTTGTAGCCTATTAGCTGTACTCTTTTCAAATGAACGCGTGCATTGCATGGATTGAATTTAATGGTTAAAAGATTAATTTGCCAAATGAAATAATTATAGTTTTAAGGGACCACCACCAAAAGGAATACTAAAAGTTGGCTACAAACGGGAAATGCAAATGAATCTTAAACGTAAACGAAAGTACTTTTTTTTTGACTTGACTATATGCAATTGTCTTGATTAACTAACATAACACAGCCTCAAATTGGCAATTAAAAAGCGTATTTAAAATCAACAAATCCAAAACGTAGATAAATTTATTTTCATAGATCTGCAATTAGGATTTATCTTTTTATTGCCGCAAAAAAAAAACAAATATAATTTATTAAATAAGTAAAAATATCAAAATGTTTGAAAAATTATGACCTTTTGATTTGAAAGCTCTTCTTAGGGTTTCTAAAAAATTGCCATTGATATAATATTTTAAATATCTTTACAATTGAATTGTGACTTGAACAATTTTTATAATTCATAAATTAAAAGTTAAATTGATTTGCATTCCCGACAAAAATAAAGCACAAGTGATAAGTAAAAGCAACACTACAAAATGAAATGCGTCCATCAAATATTTACAAAGTCTTCGCAATACAGTTACCAGAGAGAGAGAGAAATATATTCTACGAGTACGAGTATAACGACTGTGTACAGATGCGAGTTTAGTCGGGGATAGTGTGTGAATCGTATACGAGTAGAGTAATAGAGTATTGCCACCAAATCTGGGATATTGTCTGTCTTGCATTGAGGTACTCTCGTCTGAAGCACGCCGTTCTAACACCGCAGGACAATCGAACCAGGCCAACGAAATTTATATGGCCGGCCGGCGATATCCCGATGGCGGTGCGGCGAATTTGCCAGACCCAAAAGTCCAACATCAATTTTGCGCTAAACTGGCCCGAGTGCGGGGAATCTTCGGATTCACTCGCTTCTGCTTGGGCAGTTCTTCACTTGTCATCGCTTATGATTAAATTACACGGTATAGTTACATTAATACATGTATTTATACATAGATATATAGTATAATGGTTGGGTTACAAGTGTTTACTATAGGTATATACTCAAACAAAGGTGAGTGTTGGTTAGTGTGACGTGTGGTGCTCTCTTCGGGGGTTTTGAGTGCTAAGTCTAACTACCCTAGGCTACACTGGGTTAGGAGTATTCGAAGATCTCGTCGGGGCATGGAGAACAATCCGACTCATGCGCTGCTTTCCATAAACATAACGAAACAAAAGGGATACGACTAGTACTGTTTAACTGTCAATCAACTACTTATGCTAGCTACAATTTCATAGGTTTACCATCGGATTAACAAAAGCCTGAGAGTCTCTATGAAGGGTCAAGTAATCGAGTATTATTTTCTTTTATTAGTTCAAAGACTATTTGAAGTTGTGGAAGGGAAGATAAATGTTGATAACTGGGAACTTTGGAAGAACGCTACGGTAACAACAAAACAGAAGCATCAAGATCAATCCCAAAACAATGTATCGAGTGTACTTACTAACACGTGAGAAATTCCTATCTATATGCCGCCTATAGGCCACTCTAAAAGCTATTTAGCGGATTTACTGGGGAGGGGAATTTTCTTTTACTTTGTAGTCGCTGTTGTTTTTGTTGTTTAGTACCAACCATACCATAACCAAATGACTTAGGATAGATAGTATTGTATATGCATATATAATTATTAAAAAAGGAAAACAAATTGAATGTAGATACCTGCTCTGATCTGTTGTTGTCTCGCGATGACACACACCAAATATATATATTACATACCAAAAGAACATAAACGATACAAAGAAATGTTGAATATTTTTATAAATACGTTTGTATGTATTTAGTTAAGTATACTATGTAAAGAAAGGTAGAACTTACTTTTTGCCAGCCGCAACTGAACGAATGAACGAAGGTCTAGACAACATGGGGCCTGAACAGAAGTTTTATGAATTGTATAACATTGTAACAGTTTGCAGAGCGTTTCACGTGAACAGAAAGAGAATCGATAGTATAAATTACGCACGAATAACACAAAAACAACACAAAAATGCTGCTTATGGCAATTGTCAACATACCCAGAGCTTTGAGCGTTCAGGTTTTTGGTTTTGGTTTTTGTGTGATTTCGAAGATTTTCTTTTTTCATTTGTTTTGGAGGAGATATAATTAAACAACTTGAGTGTGTGTAGGTGGATGTGTTTAAAGTATATGCTCACTAAATAAAACTAAAAAAAAAAGAAAGAGAATGTTAAAAAAAACCAATATTCGTATAGGTAAAGTGTCAACGATTAATTTGTTGATTATACAGATATAGATACAGATAAAAGATAGAGATCTACAGCACAGCAAAGTAGCTTCAGATGTTTAGTATTAGTGTGTGTGGTTGGTTTAGCGTTGTGGTACATTGTGTTATACAAAGAGCACGAATAATATATCTAAAAGATGTATTTATGCACGCACATCGAGAAGGTCGGATTAGGGAAATTAAACAATTTGGATTGGAACAAAAGCTAAAATGGAGTGCTTTAGATGAACGAAATATATATATATATATGACATCGACTGGTTTACTAGGCATAACCGCTGATTAGTGGGTAGCGCGTGTGTGTGTGTTTGGGGTGTTGTGTTTCAAAAACTGTTATACATTGAAAAAGAACTGACTTTGGTTGGAGTTTTCAAAACAACTTGCTTGCTGAGTGCGGGCGCTGTTTGCTGTTTGCAACTATAAGCATGATCCTCTTGCCTCACTCGTGGAAAAGCAGGGGCAGCGGCAGGCTCAACAGCGGCGGCTGAGCCTGCAGAGCGGCTGGGGTCCTGGAAAAGGGCCGCCCAGCAGGTTGCACGTGCTGAGGATGCGGCTGCGGTTGCAGGTGCGTTGGCGGCTGGGCTGCTGGCGCCTGCAACAGACCCGGCGCAGCGGGCAGACATCATCTGAAGCGCGGCTGCATCATCTGCAGCATGTTGGGATGTCCCGGCAGCATCACGCCCATTCCGGGCATCGCCATCGCTCCGGCTGGCAAGGCGCCCGGCATTCCCGGCAATCCAATCTGCATGGGCAGCAGGCCTAAACAGAGAGCAATATATTAGCCACTGAGTATTGAGTTCTAGAAGGGTTTTCCCCAGGGACCGTAATCATTATAAGTGAAAAAATTAAAATCTCCATTTAATGATTATTTTGTAAGCAAAAAAAAATATCGTTCAGATATAATGATTATTAAATGAGCGATATTATTTCGCTTAAAAATATCACTCAAAGTGTGATTGCAGCCGTTCTGTACGGAATTTTACAAATGTTTAAATTTTGTGCTTGTAGGTAGAACCACGGAGCACACATCGAGTTAATAAAGGAAGGTGATTTCTTTGTATAAACTTTTTAAAACGCGGTTTTTAGTTTACATAAATACAAAAAGTTGTATCAACCTTAGGACTTTATGTCAATTATATATTAGTAAAACGACTTAACAAGATGTTATGGACTATTTATTTTTTTCTTAACTGGGTATGTGCTCCGTGGTTCTACCTACAAGAGCACATTTCAATCTTTCTAAAATTCCGCGTGGGACAGCTGCAATCTAACTTTGAGTGATATTTCTAAGCAAAATAATATCGCTCACAAAATAATCATTAATTCTGAGCGATATTTTTTTCGCTTACAAATTAATCATTAAATGGAGATTTTTATTTTTTACTCAAAAGAAATACTCATTACTTTCGGTCCCTGTTGATCTACTCACCTGCAGGCATGCCGTTGAATCCGTGCCCACCGGCTGCTCTCAGCATATTCCCGCCGATGAGGGCTCCGTGGGGACCGATGGCCATGGCCGGTCTCAGCATCGGCTGCATCAGCTGCATGTGACCAGGTAGCGGCATCTGGAGGTGACGGATCGGAGGACGAGGAGAGAAAGATATAGAAGAGCATGGAAACGCGATATCGGATTAATACTCTTGATGACACTTTAGCCGGGTCTATATTGAAGCCATTGTACACAAAATTAGCTAAGTTGTTATTAATTATGTTTGTATTGTTTTCTTTTTTTTTCATTTAAAATATTAATAAGTTGGTTTTGCGTACTTATTCAATAAATGGATAAGAGGTGTGTGTATGTGTGTTTGGTTTTTCTGTGGGTGGAAAACATTTTTGCATCGCATTACAAATGTATGATAGAGCAGAGACAAGATATATAGAGTAGAATATGGAGTAGAGCAGAGAGAAGAGACGAGACCTCTGCTCTTCTCACCATGGCAAAAATAATATTTTATTTTTTTTTTTCGGTTGTAATTAAATAGTTTGTTGATTTAAAAAGAAAAGTACTTACAATTCGGAAACTGAACTGACGACGACGATGGTGTGGAAGAAGGTGTGAGGGGATTGCATTGCAAACCATTTAAGGTTTTGTATCTTAATATTTGAGTTGCACTTCAATTGGGGCAACGTAAGTAAATTAATCGTATTCGCACTTAAGAGAAAGAAATAGTAATTTGATTTACTAACCAGAGGCATGGGGTCGAGTTCAAGTTCCAATATCTTTCAGTTAGAAGTTAGTTTTAAACTTGTGGTGGAGGAGGTGGATGAGGGGGTGAGATTGGGTTAGGGGGGGGAGGTCTATGGCAAGCTCATCGGTTGAAAATGAAATGGAAAGGATCTCCAACCGACAGTCCTCTACCTTTGGCAAGCATTTGTACTGCGCATAAAACCAGATGAATGATGGAGTGTTAATGTGAAAGGGAATCGACTGGGGATCTGAATGTAGGGGGTGGGGGAGGTAGACAGAGATGCATGATCTTAAGAACATAAAACACTGATTTGGTAGTACAATTTACAGATCAAAGAACATTTAGATATTATGCTTATGAGATATATTTGAGATTTTTTGTATATTTTGTGGATGAAGTTATCGAGATAGTAGAGATAGAGAGACATATCAATGCGGTGTGTAGTCGTACTTAATTCATGTGTTTATTTTGTGGATATGAATTAATCAATCAACCAGTCAATCAATCATCAATCAATTAAACCAACCAACGCAGCAACCATTACGACAAATTCAAAGTAATTGTTTTGTTTTTTTTTTTTTTTTTTTTTTTGGTATTAGAAATTATTGAAATGTACTTACATGGCTTGCAAAATAGTTTAAACATAACTCACGACTTTTCTCTCATTCATTATCATAATTGTAACTCATCGCTTTCTGTTTTACTTGCAAGGCAGTACGTACTAGAAACTTTCTGGGGGACAGTATTGATCTTGTGGATTATATACGCATGGGTGTGAGTGATTGAGAGAGATAGAGGAGAGTAGGTACTTGCTTAGACTACATAATTACTTGCATAAGTACGACTAAGTAAGATTATAATGGAGTTGTTTTGGCTTTTACTTATCTTGTTGCATTTTGCACCTTGCATTTCTCATATCATTTTGCGGGTTGTGAGTTTTATTAGGAGGTTTAGGAGTGATTAGGTTGGGTTTGGTGGGGGAAGATAAACTTGTTGTTGTACAAAAACGATACATACTGTAAAACTGTTCGGGCCCTGCGCAACACTTTGCAACTCTTTATCGTTTATCAACATTGAACTTCTGCTCGTACTGCAATTGTAACGGTAACTTTAACACATTTTTCGAGTTTACAAGCTTAGTAATGTTTAGAAATTCACAGGGTGTAAGACATATTAGTTGAAATCCCTTGTTTATAAGCTGGATAAAAGTGATGTGTTCGAAAAGTAAAGGAAATCTCAAGCGGTAGTGCGTTTGTAGTTAGCCAAATGAATTATTTCACACATGATCAAAAAGGTGTTTCGATTTTAAGGGTAAAACTGTTATTGGCTGATGAGCTCATAGGTTGTAAAAGTAATGGTAATTATTTTTTACAAATACAAAAACTATTTCCGATACTTTTAAACACATCGGTGGTATAATGACTTCAACAAATGATTTCAACGGCAGAAATTAGAGATTAGTCTTGTGAGTAAGGGGCTAGGTTAATCTATAAATATCTAGCAAGAAAATCCGATTAAATTTAGGACCCCCCACTAATCCTGAAACACATTTGCTAGTAGGTGATTAGCATGATGATGATGGCGAAGCGCTACACTAAATTTGGTTAACCCACTCGAAAATGCTGTCGTTGGCTTTTTGGTACCACCCCTGGGACACAAGATCGGTATTTGTTTCGTTTTCTTTGTTTTGTGGTCTTTTACAGATTGAGATTCTCAGCACTTGGAATTCGATTTTGTTAGGTCAAGTTCATTCTTTCGATTGGTTGTACGCGTTGCATACGCAGCACCGCAGGATTTGAGACTTACCATGCCGACGGCTGCGGCCGCCGCAGCCGCTGCCGCAGCGCCAGGATTTGCCGGCTGTCGGGCAGCCTGAAAGCGCTGGAGCATCACAGCCCGATTCAGTTCCTCCAGTTGCTTCACCTGCTGCTGCTGAGCTGCCGCATGTTGTTGCTGAGCTACCGCCTGCTGTTGTTGCTGCTGCTGCTGCACCGCCGACTGTTGCTGCTGTTGTTGTTGCTGCTGCTGCTGCTGCACCGCCTGCTGCTGGGCTGCCACAGCGTGTGCCACATGGGCTGCTTGCACCTGTGCCTGGACCACGGCCTGCGCCTGAGCTTGGGCTTGAGCCTGGGCCTGAGCTTGAGCTTGAGCTTGGGCCACTTGGGCGTGCGCCTGAGCCTGAGCCTGTGCCACGGCTACTAGAGCGGCGGTCTGCAAGAAAATGTTGGGAATCGATTGAATTTATCTCACTTGCCACTGGGAGGGATTATTTATGTGGTGCAACCCGATTCAAAAGCTTTTCCTAAGTGAGTGGGGATTTCTTTATACATATCCTGGTGATAATTTATAAAATGATCCTATTTTTCTAAAGCGAGTATATTTATAAGCCTTTAATTGATTGGTGCATCGACCCCAAACAGATAACAAATGTTAACTAAGCATTATGAAAGTTAATTTAATTCAAACGAAAAATATTTAAATAAATTTGAAATAACATTAATTTAAAAGTTCATACTGTGTTCCTCACAAATTGTTTAAAATATTATTATTGACCTACTCACTGCTCGAAAGGAAAGTCTAAAAAAAGAAAGGAGTGTAAAATGTAACACTTTATTTTGGAACCTAATTTAACTAGAAAAATATATTTAAATAAAAAAGAATATTTAAATAAATTTGAAATAACATTAATTTAACAGTTCATACTGTGTTCCTCATAAGTTGTTTAAAATACTATCATTGAACTACAAACTACTCGAAAGGAAAGTCCAAGCAAAGAGATTGTAAGGATTTAAAACTTTATTTTCGGAACTTAATTTAACTGTAAAAATCCGCCCCTAATTTCCAATCAAATCGATCCACCCCAATAATAATTTTCGCGCTATGACTATACATCCCTAGAATAATGGGTAATTCTTGTAGGATGATTGAGTGTCAGCCTCTTACTTATTTTCTTCGAAATGTAAGGAAGGGGAAACTGACAGCTGCACTGCCTTTCCGAATTTTGGTATGGGGATTAAGGTTTGGGGGACCAAGACAAGATAAAACTTTCCCTTCTATCGAATTCCCTAGGCTTCGTGGAAAAATGCTTCAAATCAAAGAATCTTAATTGGTTAAATTGAAAACCGCCGTTTCGTTTGTTTTGTTGCCATTAATTTCTTTGTTTAATTAAAAAATTGTACAGACATATATCATACTATATGCTAAAAAAAGTAATTCTGTTTTGTTTCGTGTGATTCTGTTTGTCGTGTAAACGTAATTCCGCCATTGCATTTTACGAAAATTGCAAATTGGTATCAGTAGTTGTGTGTAAAAAAAATCGTGTCCAGTTTGGAAAAATGGAATTCTCTTAGAACGCAAAATGCAGTCGAAATTCAAGTGTGAGTCAAGTTTTGTATGTGCAATTGTATATTTTATTTGTATAATTTTTTTTGTTTTGAGAAAATTGTCTTTTTTACACGTCCGCGCTTCAGTCCGTTGCGTTTGGTTGTAATTCCTGTTTATCAGTGGAAGTCGTTTCCGTCGCGGTCTGTTTTTATTTATATTGACTATGGTTTCTATAACTATGATAAGAACTCACTTCCTGGGCCTTCGACATGGCTGTGGAGACGACAATCGCGTTAGCCATGCCACTGCTGCTGTTGCTGCCCGTGGGCGAGATCCCGGCCAGCGAGGGGGGCGGCGGGGTGGCGGGCATCGGCGCGGAGGCACCGCCATTGTTGCTGGGACTTTTCCGACTCTGTGGATTCGCCAGGGCGGCCATAGCGGCAGCCAGTCGCGCCTGTATCTTCGGTTGCCTGGCGCGCAGCTCTTCCAGACTCAAGTCCTCCTGCGGATGCATGATCTTGGTGGTCACAGCGGCGCCGGCAGCTCCGCTGGCGGCGGGCGGAGCCGGCGGTCGCTGCTGATGTGGCTGGGCATCGGGCGGACCACTTGGTGGTGCGCTGGATGCGCCACCAGCATGATTGGTGGTGGGCGGAGCACTTATGGTAGCATTACTTTACAAAAAGGGTGGAAATAAAGGATTAAGTTAGTGAGGAAGAGCTTGGTTTATGCCTAGAAATAAGTCGTTGGACTTGCTTCAGAGGCTGAGATAAATGTGGGGGAAACCACTTAGAAATTGCCAAAATAAACTAATTCCTTTAACTGAAAATAATCTTTAAGACAAAGTTTAAAATGGTATTTGGAGCTACCCAAAAATTAAATTATTTTTTAATAAAAGAACCTAAAACTCTACAAAAATTAGGCATTTGAAATTTGAAACAAAATATAGCGCTCTAAACGAATAGGTTACCAATTAAAATTAAAATTAAAAACAATTATTTAAAGCGTCAGTTCTAATGTAAAACTCAAATATATGTAGGGAGCTACATGTTTTCATTATTCTTAATATTGTTTATGTGACTAGTGCATTAATTTAATTAATTTGTAGCACCAGGTAATAAGAAAGAAAGAAATAAATAAAATACAATGATTTAAGCAACAATTGGCAGAATTCTAATGTGGTTTTCCCCGCTATCGATGCCCACCTGTACGCTGGAAATGTTGGCTTTTGCTGGGCCATGGCGGCGGCATGGTGATGGTGGGCCGCCGCCGCAGCGGCTGCCGCCGAGGTGGTGGCCATGGCGGCTGGAAACAGGGGACGCGGCGGCATCATGTGCGGCATCATGGGCACTGGATACGGAGGCAGTGGCGGCATGTGCTGCATCATGCCCATGCCATATTGGCCGAGCATGTGTGGCGGCATCATGTTCGGGGGCATCATCATGGGCGGCGGTACGCTCATGGCATCTGCAAAAAAAGCTTTCCTCAGAGACATTTATTGTAGATCTAAGGGAAACACTTACATTCCACCTTCTTCTTGGCCACCGGCTCATCATCGTCCGAGTCCGACTTTCCGCCATTCTTCTGGCGCTCGTGATCCCTGAGATCCTCGGCCGGAATGCCGTCCATGCCGAAGATTTCGATCTCAATGTTTGAGCGATTGGGCAGCGAGTTGGGCACCTTGTCCACCGTCTCCTTGTGCACCTGCATGCAGTGGATGGAGAGCCCCGGTCCGGTGTACAACTTCTTGTGGCAGATGTGGCACTTGAAGTGCTTGGCCTTCTGGTGCTGCACCAGGATCTTCTCATCGTCGAACTCTCGGTTGCAGTACCTAGTTTTTTTTTAGCTAAGAGTTAAGGAATATTTTCGGAATATATGTATGTGTCCACTTTCCCCTGTAAACCCCCCCACCCTTCTTCCAACAATACCATTACATAAATTTGTGTGTATGTATGTGGAGATACAGCCAGCGGCACATGCCGTGGAAAAAAACTTTGTGGTTTGTTTTGCGAAAAGGATACCAGCACCAGGGTTTGGAGGCCTTCTTCTTCTTGCGTCCCATGGTTCAAAGGTTGGATTTTAACACTTAAATTTACGAAAACGCTCGAGTAATTGGTATAAAAATGCAATTTGATGTAGCAAAAAAGGTTCCGCCGTGGAAAACAAAATGGAGAGCCAGTCAGAGTGACCAGATGGTGTATAAAATATCGCTAACAGTGCAGCCGCGGAAATATCGAAAAACTATAAAAATACTGAAATCTTATCAAATTTAAAAAAATAATTGGTAAATCTCTTAAAATAAAATTGAAAGATTTTAACGACATGGCTGACATTTTTTTAAATTTATTATTGTTGTTGCAGGCTAAAATTGAGACTTTCTAGTACAAGTAAGCAACAATTCAACAGTTTAGGGAATGCTCAGATTATTTCTACGACATCTGCATAATTCTTCCTGCCATCATTTGTCTTTTAGTTCGAACCTAATTCAATTTTGGCACCAGAAAACTGAAATAAAACAGGCACACAGGGTGATTTGTGTGCTCCGTATCGTATGCGAATGGTTCTAGTCTAGGATAAAAACTTAATGACTAGCGCCCCCTGTTGGCTGGTAGTGCCATTAATTTAATGACTTTTTTTGCACACCAAGCAACGGTCACTCTAGGCCAGCCGGCATTTATTATTTTTACGGAAAAACAGAATAATGGCAGATAAAAAGGTAAAATAAATAAATGAGAAAGCTTTCCGCGAATAATCATCATTTGCGTGATCCCTGCAGGTGGGCGACGGCAAGGAGAAGCGGCGCAAGGAGTCGATTCTGGACCTCTCCAAGTACCTGGAAAAGCAGATCCGCGTGAAATTCGCGGGCGGCCGCGAGGCATCCGGAATCCTCAAGGGCTACGATGCGCTGCTCAATCTGGTGCTGGACAACACGGTGGAGTATCTGCGGGACTCCGACGAGCCCTACAAGCTGACCGAAACGAACCGCAGTCTGGGATTAGTTGTGTGTCGCGGCACAGCGCTGGTCCTCATTTGTCCACAGGACGGAGTCGAGAGCATCGCCAATCCGTTTATAACGCAATAATCGGAGGATCGGTATCTTTATCTCTGGATCCTGCGTTCCAGATTCTAGATTCTAGACTAAGTACAAAACGTTTTTGTGGAAATCGGTTTAAATATATATTTAGCAGAGACAAACTACGTATAAATTAGTGCTTAAATCTAATTAGGCCACAAACTACAACTATTGGCAGGCTTTCTCAGGATTTTTGAACTCCATAATATTTTCTCTCAGATTTTTGATACTATTTGATTTTGAAAACATAAATACTTGATCTAATTCAATTTACAAATATTCATTTGTCAATAAATTGTATTAAATCCTTATTAGCACCTTTGTAAAACTTTGTAGATAGTATATTATTATTAGACATCGAATTTTAGGTGAAATCGTTTTTTTTAAATATGATTCAAAACCACATTTGATTGGTTAACATTTTTTAAATCTTATTATAACTTAACAAATGAAATGTGTAACCAATCAAATGTGGCTTTAAATCGTATTTAAAAATAATTATTTCACCCAAAATCCGATGTCTAATTATTATACAAAAGTTATCTATATTGATCCAAACTCATATCATAGCCGAAAATAAGCCTGTAACAACAATAAGGTAGATATCTGTATCACCATCTGTATACAAATGCAAAGTTACCGAAAGAAGGAACTTCCTTTCACAACATCCCAAATATTATGGAGACCAAAAAACCCCATTCAACGAGCCTATCTAATGTTATGCGGGCTATCACCTTAGTCCAAGCCGAACTCGTTGCGAATCCAGGGATACTGGGCAGGACACTCCATGCAGGTGTAGAAGAAGCGATCCTCCTGCAGCACCCGACTCCGCACCTTGCAAACATTTGGCAGATTGCAGACCCGCTCGTGAGGATCCAGATCCTTCGGTTGGCAGTGCCAGGACTCAAACTGATGCAGCTGATTGCTGGGCGTGGGATGGCGCATCCACTGGATGGCCTGCTGATTGGTCACAAAGTGCACATCCGGCAGCTTTTGCAGATCGTCGAGGAATTTCTGAATGAAAAAACAGAGATTAAATTATATTTTTAACTGATTCTTTCAACACCCACCAGAAAGGCATTCAGATAGTCAATCTTCTTGAACCAAGTGGAGTGGAAATACAGGCCAAATGGCGCCCTATTGCTGAGATAGTGCCTCTTGAAGTTGTGCGTCAGCATTCGGTAGACATCCTCGCCACTCAAATGCGGCGGACAACTGTCCACCATGCCGCACATATATTCACCCGCCTCCAGTTGGTTCATCACCAGTTCCCAGATGCCCGGATAACTCCTCGATGGACAGTTCTGATTGACGCCCGTGCAGCTGTGCGGCATCTTGTAGTCCAAAGTGTAGGGCCAAAGGGGCGGATTGGAGTGCGGTGCCACCATGGAGGAATCGTACACGAAGCCAAACTCCTTCATCATCAGGAACTGGCGATTCCAGCCGACGCGCAGGAAGGGAACCCTCATGCCCCGGATCTCCTCCATGCGAACGGCAGCAAACTTGTTGATGATATTCGCCTGGCCCACCATCTCATCGAACCAATCCTCGATGGTGGCGTTCTTGGACCACCACATCTCGGGTCCACGGTGACTGAAATATATTATGAAACCCATAAATAATGTAACCCATTGTATTCACAGCCTAAATCAACTTACGCAGGATTCTGAAATTGACACACATGTTAAAAAACATGAAAAATTGTATTTTATATTGTGTGCAAAATTGTTGAAATGTGTGTCAAATACAAAAGTGTTAAAATGTGAAAAATAATTGTTAGCACACACAGCTCACTTGTGTTTTTTACTAAATGTGCTTTTAATACGACGTGTTTTTTACATACTGTGCTTTTAACCAAATGAAAATTACATTTTACTGACATTAACGAGTTAGTTAGTTTAGTTATGTTATGTTAGTTTTAACCAATTCCAAGCATATATGAATTCTTATACTCCGGAAAACCGGTTTAAATTTTTTAATGTCAAAAACTCATTGTGTTAAAAACACGCTGCGTAAAAAACATGTCGTGTTAATAACACGTCGTGTAAATAACACAAATGACATGTGTGTGTTATTTATGTATCTAACATATGTAGGATACAATTTTTTACACACAAGTCAATAACTTTTTTTGAACTTAACACTTTGACATTTAACATGTTAATAACACAAGTTTTTTAAAGTGTGTGTTATTTTCCGAACCCTGAACTTACGTGACTGAGTGCACGGCGATTTCATGCCCATCGTTCCACAGCTTCTGGACATACTGATAGTTTGTGAACGGGTGGGAGACATAGAAGGTGCCCCTGATGGGACAGCCGTTGGGATTCCGCCTGTTCTGTGTGAACAGAACCTTCGAGAAGAGCTCCCAGTTGTCGTGATTGATGGCATCGTCGAAGGTGAGCAGTATCATCTGCGGAACGCTCTGGGCGGGAATGCCGCCGGGTATCTGGGTGCCATCCTTGGAGCAGAAGCACTGGGGCAGCTGGCACTTGCGGGGATCACAGGCACCTGCCGCATTTGGATCGTGCTCCACATCGCACCAACCCTCATCCGAGCCATCGGGACAGTCCACGGATCCGTCGCAGAAATACTCCTGCGGCAGGCAGGTGCCATCGGCGCAGCCCAACTGGTAATCATCCGCACAGTCGGCCATCTCGAGGAGAGGCTTTGGAGCCGGCACCTCCGCGCTCACATCGCAGTTATCCACATTCGCCTTGAAGTCGCAGATCTGACGGACGACATCGAAGAGCAGGCCCTCGGAGCACTTGAACTCGAACACCTCGCCGTCGAGGCAGAGGAAATACTTGGCGCACTCGCTGTTCGTCCAGATCTTGTGGACTGGTCGGTTGGGATTGCGGTAGAAGCGGGCATCTTGCATGCAACTGGCCGGAGATGCAGGCGCGGAGGTCGAGCGACGTTGCCGCGTGTGGTTGCTCGTGATTATTCCATCATCATTGTCTGCAAAGCAGCGAGATAGCCGTGTGTAATTAACAAGGAGACTAATTAATGCCGCTACTGCTGCTGCTACTGCTGACCCAAAAACGAAACCGCTCACGTCAACCCAAAATTATCCACCGCCGATTGCAGCAATATTTCATTGGCTCGGCTACCAATCACGCACTGAAAATGGGCGGCAGTTGTCAGTCAACTGTGGACAAGAAACGCCGCATAAGCCCACGTTTTCGCCACTTGAATTGAGTTGAATTGAAGTGAAAAATTTGTCAAATCTCAAGGAAATATTTATATAGATATATGTAATACTCAGTTGGATTTCGATGACCTTTTTGATATTTTAAAGACCTCGATTAACATTTAAATTATTTTATCTTAGATGGTCTTTCTTCAGGGTAACTGAGAAATATGATTTATGTATATTGAAACTAGTCACGAAATACTACAGTCTACCATTCGAAATTATAATGTGGTTGCTGGTTAAGAATTATATGGAAATCTTTGGATTTTTATAGATACGTTTTTTATGACTTAATAATTTAATGTTTGTTTTTTTTCCCATTTTTAACTTAAGGTCAAACAAATGCGTTAGAAAAAGTTTTATATTAGACTAAGAATAATTGACTTCTATAACCTTCTAGAAATATCTCTTGAATTTGTTTGGCACCTTTCATTAACTTATTGTACACAAAAAAAAAGTATGTTACCGTAAAATCGACATGGCCATGTAAATTTACATTAAATACTCTTTTCGACCAGGTCAAAATTACCTGACCACATATCAAATTAAAATTGATCTATGTTTCATATTAATTTTTTTGTTGGTGAAATTGATTAGACAAAACAAGAATCTTAACTCTAACTTTTTTTTAAACTAACATATTAAAAGTCTCTTTATTCTACGAATACCTTCTCAAAATTGGTTTATCTGTTTAGAAACGTTAAGAAACGAGAAATTCCAACTAATACATTCCATTTTTTCCCGAAATCTTCCAGAAACTCTTGAAGATCTTTTGGTATAGCCAATCATTGGAACCTCCCCCTGCTCCGCCCTGTTGAAAATCCGCCCCCAGCCATGTGCCACATTGCGGCGGATAGATTGAAATGCGTTTGCATCATGGATTGGCAGCAATGGCCCGTAGCGCAGCCGAGCCGCACCAGATCGTAACTCAGGCGGAGATTGGGCAAGCGACGCGTGTTGGCCAAAATGCAAGATGCGATCTCGATCTCGAGATTCGAGATATGTGTGTCTATGGCAGATAGTCCAACTCTGACTGGCTGTCTTGTATGTATCTCAATCTCGATCTCTAGCTCTGGCCGGAGCAGCTGGGGCAGTTGCAGCATTTAGAAAGTAAATTTATCATCTTGCCAGTTGGAGAGGCCAAGGCAGCGGGTCAGGAAAATTTCAGCAACTGTCATGGGGTTCAATGCACACGCTCTTTTATTTTAGTTTTGGGGCGGGGTTGGGGTACGGGGACAACACTCGAATCCGAACCCGAACCCACTTGGCGCCCCGTTTGCGGTTATATAACTCGCATTCGATCGACAACTTTCACACCCAATGCGCGCGCGCATGCGCATGGCGAAAAAACCAAAATAAAGGCAAGACACGCACCCAATCAAAATCAAAAATCAAAACTAAAGACCCAACAAAAGGGGAGAAATTACCAATGACCAGGGCATCCAGCGAAGACGACATAATAATCATAATCACTATAAAATAAGTGAGTAATAGATGGTCGCTGAAATTAGTGGGCGGTGATAACCGTTTAAAGCGTCGTTGGGCGGAAGCGACGACCTTGACTGTGAAACCCGTTTGGCAATTTACATTTTCCCCCGGGCAGAGCATTTTTCAGCCTGCTTTCTTCCACTTTTCGTGTCGTGTGTCCAATATTTCGATCCGTTTCGAGTGCGAGCACTTTGAATTTTCCGACTGCTCTCGGAAAACTTGGGAAAAATCACGGAACCGCACCGAGCCAAAGACGAATTGTGACTGAAGTCGAGCCAGATGCAGGCAAGGCATTATATATTTGGGCATTTCTCTTACAAGAGGGTAGTGGAGAGACCGCCAGAGAAAGCTCTTCGCAGTGGGTGATATATTTATGATTGAGAGGCAGAGAGAGCATTTTTAAAATATTAGTTTGCTGAATAATTTATAAACGAGACATCAACTTATCAAAATTACCTAATCGGGGTGTTTGTTTTGCTTTAAAAATACATATATGTATAAACATTGTTTTGGGTTTTAATTCATGATTTTCTTAAATTGAAATTTTGATTATTTTAATTAGATGAATAAAATTTAAGTTTTTAAATAATAACGGCTAAAAAATAATACCTTTTTAAGTAGTTTAAAATATGTGAAAAGGTCAGGTATTTCCAAATGCTGATACTCGTCCCAAAAATATAAGGCCATTTTTCTAACCCTATTTTGCATTAAAAATTTAAATAACAACCTAATCATGGTGAAATATATTTAAGGGCTTTGACCTAATGTCAAAAAACGACTACTCGAAAATATCGAAAAAATCGACTTTAATCACTGTCGATAGTTTTGCAGCTCTAATATAAATAAATGTAATTTCTTCAAGATATTTTCTTGTTCTTTCCCTAATTTTTAATCCGGTTTAACGGTCCATTTAAATTTGAATTTAAATTTAATTTCTATAAAATATGTTCTAGTTTTTTTCCTTAATTTTTAATCCGGCCATTTAAATTTAAATTTTAAATTTAATTTCTTCAAGATATTTTCTAGTTTTTCCCCTAATTTTTACTCCGGTCTAACGGTACATTTAAATTTGAATTGAAGAGCTGCCAACCTGCCTCGCTTGCCCCTATTTAAAGTGACATTGAGGTATTACAAGGGTAAGCCAAAACGGTCACACCAGAATAAGCGTCAAATTTTTTACTTGGCGCGCCGGAAAATAGAATCCTTTTCAATTTACGGCCTCGGCTTTGTTAAGTTTTCTCCTGGTTAAATCCTGAAAAAGAAAAATCGAGATGCAGAAGGCGCGTCCCAGCAAGGGCACGCCGAAGGCGCTGGGCGGTGGACGCCAGAGCGGCCAGTTTCGGGTGCCGCAGCTAACCGCACAGCAGCAAATGCGAGCGCAGCAACAGCAGGAGGAGGAGGACGCCGCCATGGACGCCCTGGACGATGCGCTGATCTTCGACGACGAGGAGGGCGGCACCAGGATTGGCGACATCTACATACCGCCGCCGGTGCCGCCGCACTGCTCCATGGAGAGCACCGGGCCGCGTCTGATAATCGCCAAGATTGTTAACCACAATTTCAAGAGCTACGCCGGCAAAGTGGAACTGGGGCCGTTCCATCAGAGTTTCACCGCTATTATCGGGCCAAATGGCAGTGGCAAGAGCAACGTCATCGACTCCATGATGTTCGTCTTCGGCTGCCGCGCCAATCGCATCCGCTGCAAGCGCGTCTCCACCTTGATTCACTCCTCCTCGGCGTACCCGAATATTCGCAGCTGCTCGGTGGCCGTGCACTTCAAGCAGATCGTGGACAAGGGCGACGGTAGCTGCGAGGATGTGCCGGACTCGAGCATTGTCATCGAACGCACAGCCATGTCGGATAACTCTTCCTACTATCAGATCAACGACAAGCGGGCCCAGTTGAAGGATGTGGCCAAGCTGCTGAAGAAACATCATGTGGATCTCGAGCACAACCGTTTCCTCATCCTGCAGGGCGAGGTGGAGTCGATTGCCATGATGAAGCCCAAGGGGCAGACGGAAAACGAGACGGGCATGCTGGAATATCTGGAGGATATTGTGGGTACGCAGCGCTACATTCGCCCGCTGCAGCAGATCAACCAGAGGGTCGATCAGCTAACCGACGATCGTACCGAGAAGCACAACCGCTGCAAGCTGGCCGAGCGCGAAATGAAAGACCTCGAGCAGCCGTTCAACGAGGCCGTCGACTATCTGAAGAAGGAGAACGAGCTGGTGCGCACCAAGTCCTTTCACATCCAGAAGATTGTGAGCATTAAGAAGAGCAAGCTGGAGCAGTACACCCAGGAGCACGACGTCTGCGTGGAGGAGCTGAAAACCCACGACGAGGGCACGGCTGCTTTAAAACAGGAACGAGCTGAGAAGGAGACAATCATCAGGAAGGAAATTGAGTAAGCAAAAATCTATAGTTTATTATACTTACACATTATATCATTATTTACCCTTCAGAGCCTACGAAAATCTAGTAAAGAAGCGCGAGCAAATCAAGAAAAGGCTGGTGACCATCGAGAGTGCCCACACCGAGATCCAGAGCACCATGGAGAACACGAACAAGCAGCGCAAGAAGGACAAGGCGCAGATAGAGAAGAACGAGAAGGAGCTGGAGGATCTGCACAAGTTGCCCGAGAAAAATCAGCGCGAAATCGAAGATTGTAACAAGAAACTGGAGAGCCTGGAGAAGAGCAAGGTTACTTTAAGTGAGGAACTTGAAAAGCAGCAGGCCGAGTTGTCGGAAACCACGGCACCGCTGACCGAGAAGCGTCTGAAGCTCAGTGACGAGTTGGTCGGGCTCAAGGAGAAGGTGAACGCGGCCAAGGGAGAGCTGCAGGTGTACGAGTCGCAGCTGAAGATCCTCAAGCAGGCAGAGACCACCGAGTCCAGGAAGTACGAGACCCTGAAGAGCTCCTACGAGCAGTCGCAGAATAGTCTGGAGGAAAAGAAGGGCAGGGTGGAGGAGTTGAAGGAAAGCATTCCACGCATGAAGAGCGAAATAGCCAACAAAACGGCGGAGGTAGATAAAATGGTCAAGGAGGAGCGTAATCTATCCATGCAGTGCAACAAGCTCAGAACAGAGGTGAGGATTCAACTAGTTTATCTTGATTTTCCAAATTAATCACTGATACCTCCCTTAGATCAACGAAAGATCGAGCGTCATGCAGGCTCAGCGCTCCAATAACAAAGTCCTGGACTTTCTCATGCGCATGAAGATGGAGGGAAAGATCCCGGGGATTCTGGGACGCCTGGGCGATTTGGGTGGCATCGATGCCAAGTACGATGTGGCCATTTCGACGGCCTGTGGCCGCTTGGACAATATTGTGGCAGAGAACTATGATGCTGCATCGGCAGCTATTAAAGCCCTCAAGGATTACAACGTGGGCAGGGCCACCTTCATAACCTTGGACAAGATCGAGCACCTTCGTCGCGAGGCCAACTCTAGGATTAATACGTAAGTATATTTAGCCATCGATCTAGCCATGTCAGTCTGTCCGTCCGTCTTTCTGTCCGGTTCTACGCAAACTAGTCCCACGGTTTTTAAGCTATCGGCTTGAAACTTTCCCAAAAGTCTTCTTTCTATTGAAGGTAGTATATAAGTCGGAACCGACCGGATCGGACAACTATATCTTAAAGCTCCCATAGAAAGAATCGGAAAAAAGAAACGAAAAAAAAATTATAGCTTTGGTGTTTGTTGAAATATTACCTTCTAGTCTTGGAAATATTATTTTTTAAATATTTCTGAATTTCGGATTAAATATTTAAAAAATCGTATAAGTGCCATAGGAACGATTTGAAAATTAATAGAAAAGTAATAGGAAATACATTTTAGCTTCTTTTGTTTTTATTGCATTCTCTTCTAGTCTAGTCTTCTAGTCTTTTTAATACTTCCGAATTTCAATTTTAATTTTATCAAAATCAGACGACTATATCATAAAGCTGCCATAGGAACGATCGAAAAATAATTGGGAAATTAATTGGAAACAAATTATAGCTCTGTTAATTTTGATTGTACTCTCTTCTACTCTTGGATACGATTTTTTTTTAATATTTCCGAATTTCAATTTTAATTTTATCAAAATCGAATGGCTATATCATATAGGATTGCTATCCATAGGAACGATCGAAAAATAATTGGGAAATTAATTGGAAACGAATTATGCTTTTATGGTTGGTTTTGGTTTGGTTTGTTTTTTTTTTAATATTTCCGAATTTCGAATTAAATTTAACAAAAATATGACGACTATATAGTTGCCATAGGGAAGGATATAAAAAATAATGTTAAAAAAATACGAGATTTAAAATTTTTGCTGTTTGTAAGTTAGCAAGAATGATCTGCCAGGGTATATAATAGCTTCCCTTCTTGTTATTGACCAACTTTTGTAATTGCAGACCCGAAAACGTTCCCCGCTTGTACGATCTGGTTCGGGTTGAGGATGACCGCGTGCGAACCGCTTTTTTTTCGCCCTGCGCAACACTCTAGTGGGCGACGACCTGGAGCAGGGCACGCGCATTGCCTACGGCAGGGAGCGCTTCCGAGTGGTTACCCTACGCGGTGAGATGATCGAAATGACGGGCACCATGTCCGGTGGCGGCAATCGCCCGATACGCGGTAAAATGGCCGCCCAAGTGCGCACCAAGACGGCCGAATCGGCTGACAGCTCGCAGATGTCGCAAAAGGCCCTGGAAGATATGCAGATTCAGGCGGAGGAGCTGCAGACGAGGGTCAACTACTGTCAGGAGCAGCAGGGCAGTCTGGAGCGCGAGATTCAAACTTTGAGAGCAAGCCAGCAGCGTGAGGAGGCGGAGTACAAGCGGCTGGCGGTGAGCATTACCTCGCTGGAGCAGCAGATGGCCAGCAACCTGAAGCAGTGCGAGGCGCAGCGCCAGCGGATGCTCAAGAAGACCACGGACGAGGGGGCAGTCAAGGAGCGTGAAGAGCAAATAGAAGCAGCCAAGCAAGAGCTGGAGCAAGCACAATTCGCCGAACAGGCGGTCTCCAGCCAAATCGACGAGATCCAGACTCAGTACGAGACCCTGAGAAACGAAAACGTCAAGCCCGTGGAGGCCAAGATCAAGAAGGTGGGCACTCAGATCGAGAAGCTGGCCGCCAATGTGCGCTCCTTGAATGTGGCCCTCGCCTCGGCTGATCGCAACATTCAAAAGATCACGGGAAACAATAATAATCTTCGTGAGAACATAAAGGCAGCGGAGGAGAAACTTAAATCTCTGAACGAGGATCGCCAGAAGTGTCAGGAAAAACAGGAGACGCTGGAAAAGGAAGCGGAGGAGGCGGAAGCCGCCATAGAGGGTGCCAAATCGCAGTCTTCTGACATAAAAAAACAAATAGATGAGATTACCAAGCAGGAGAACAAAAGAAATATCGATCGTGTCGAGATAGATACCAAATTACAAGCGGCTGCGGGAAAGATGAATAAGGTGAAGCAGGAAATTCCCGCTTGGCAGGCGCAACTGCAGCCCTTGAAGCTCAACGAGATTCCCGGAGAATCCGAACCTCAGGCGCCGCTCAAGGAACTCAATGAAGAAGAGTTGGAAGCAGAGACGCTGGAGGCTTTGCAGTACAAGCAAACTATGCTGGAGGAGGATCTGAAAACGAAGAAGCCCAATCTCGGTTGCATCAAGGAGTTCAACGAGAAGCGCATAGTCTATCTGGATCGCGTGCGTGTCCTGGAGGACATCACCTCCAAGCGAAACGAGATGCGCGACAAGTACGAGGAGGTGCGAAAGCGTCGCTACAAGGAGTTCATGGATGGGTTCAGCATTATAACGCGGAAGCTCAAGGAAATGTACCAGATGATTACTTTGGGTGGCGATGCCGAGTTGGAGCTGGTGGACTCCATGGATCCCTTCACCGAGGGCGTCAACTTCACGGTGCGTCCGCCCAAGAAGAGCTGGAAATACATCTCGAATCTCTCGGGCGGTGAGAAGACTCTATCCTCGCTGGCTTTAGTTTTTGCTCTGCATTACTACAAGCCTTCTCCGCTGTATTTCATGGATGAAATCGATGCGGCGCTGGATTTCAAGAATGTGTCTATTGTGGGGCACTATATAAAGGTGAATGCACATGTGATTTTGTCTTTAATCTTGTAATTCTAATGACATTTCTTGTATTTTATTAGGAGCGTACAAAGAACGCCCAGTTCATAATTGTTTCACTGCGCGTCAACATGTTCGAGTTGGCCAACTATCTGGTGGGCATATACAAGGTCAGCGACTGCACAGAATCCATCACCTTGCTGAACCATCCGCCTACGCTGCCCACGCAGCAGCCCACGATCGCCAACAGTCAGTTTGTGGGTGACACTATCGAACAGGAACAGGATGTTACCTTGGAACCCGATGAGAACCAAACACAGGATACTCAAGCCAGGCCTTCAGAGCAGATTAATCAGCTGGGCGGAAGGGAGACCACCTTTGCCCCGCCCTTGGAAAGCACAGTAAGAGATACCATACTTGCTCAAGCAAGCGAGCAAAACGCTGCAGGGCGTATTATTCCGGACGTTTCCTTGGACAGTCCTCCCTGTTCCCCACCTCTGGGCAATGTTTAAGTTTAGATATACATACTATCTTACTCTTAGACTAATGAATGTCTCATTTTGTAAAGTTTGAAACTCCTAATTTCCTTATGATTCAATAACACTTCTCTGGGTAATGTTTAAGCTTACATATACATATTATCCTATTGTTAGACCACTGAATGTCTATTTTCTAATCTTGTGTAGTTTGAAACTGCTAATTTATGGTTTAATATTAAAAACGTTGCTAAGAGACCGCTGTTAATATAAACTGTGTTTGCAATTTGTTTTTATTCTTTTTAAGTATTACTATGTTAAAGAACCTACATATTTAATAGGACCACTGAATGTGTTTTTATTTTATTACAAAAGTGTATATTATAACATTTTTACATTCCTAACTAAAGCTAGCCATAATCCGTGAGCAAATCCCTTGCAGCGCCTCAGTGGTAGAGTTCTTCATCTCCGTTATATCCTCGCCAGAATCGGCTGCTTTGGCTACCAGGGGATCCAGGGGCAGGGAGCCCAGCAGTGGAACTCCCATTTCGGCGCACATGGCCGCTGCTCCTCCGGTTTTGGCCGGAAAGATCTCCGAGCTGTTGCCACAGCTGCCGCAGCGAAAACTGCTCATGTTCTCAATGACGCCCACAATGGGAATATTCTGCTTCTTGCAATAGTTGATCTCCTTGCGCACATCCAGCAGAGCCACCTCCTGTGGCGTGGTCACCAGGACGGCGCGCAGTGATTCCGGCTTGGTGTCGTCCTTTAGATAGGAAACAACGGACAGGTGCTCATCGGAGGTGCCGGGCGGTGTGTCCAGCAGCAGGAGATCCAGATTGCCCCAGTCCACCTCGCTCAGGAACTGCCGAATCATGCCGTTCTTCTTGGGACCCCGCCAGATGATGGCATCATCGACGGAGCCGAGCAGAAAGCCAATGGACATCAGGCATACGTTGTCGTCGACGCCCACGGGTGACCAGCCGGAACCCGACTGATGGACACTCTCGCCCAGGGCGCCCATCAGACGAGGTTGCGACGGACCGCAAATGTCGATGTCCAGGACGCCAAAGTTGCTGTCCGGACAACTCCTGGCCAGGTAGCGGGTCAGCAGGCTGGTCACCGTGCTCTTGCCCACGCCTCCTTTTCCTGAGAGGATCAGCAGCTTGTTCCGCACATCTCTTAGGGATTCGGCCACCAAGGCCTTGCCGGGATCCTCCACTTTCTTGCTGGGATCGCTGCAGATGCTCTGGTTCGGGCAGCCGGCACAGGCGTTTCCCTTGCCCGCCTGCTCGCTCTCCACGCCAGGACAATGTTCCGGAGGAGGTGCCTGCATGGCTTCAGCTTAAATAGTAATTATTCGGTAAATTGATTGTGAAATTAAAAATGATAACAATGGCCAGTGTGGCCAAACAAAAAAATTCTGGAAGCAAGTGGAGCCAAAAAATAAACAACATCCTAAAATATAAAAAATAAAGTTTGTTAATTTGTAATAATAATTTTTTAATTTGTGTGGCCAACTAAAAAAAATGTTCAAAGCAAGTGGAGCCAAAAAATAAACAACATCCTAAAATAAAAACAAATGTTTGTTAATTTATAAAAATAATTTTTTAATTAAAAAAAAAGTATATAATAGATAATTTTAACATTCAGAGAAAAAGCTCTACAGAAATGTCTTGAAAATACCGATCCTCGACTTTAGTAAGGAAATATTTTTAAAAAGCTTTAGGTAGTTTGCTTCACGAGTTGAGTCCAATAATTAACCTTTAGGTAGTTTGCTTTAATAAAAATTACTTCAATAACTTGATTAAAATTTTTAAAAATACAAGTGACCACATGCTTTGTTCAGAAAATTGTTTTAATAAAATTATCAGATCACAATATTAGTTTTAATTAAGACAATATCAAACAAGAACAAAGAATCAAACAAAATTTATTTGTTATTTTTATATATTTATTTAAGGTACAAAATAAATATTTTTATATAGGGATAAAAATAAATATATTTAAGTATCAACTTTAGTTAGTATTTTTTCCGAAATCCGGTATTTCTCGCAGCTACGGTCACACACCGCTCCTAAGTATTGCTTGTCATCGCATTTCGGCAACTCACAAACAACTTGGAAATTTCCCTGAAAGCCCCGAAAGTACATAAATAATTGCGACATGGAGACACTACTGGGTATCAAGGGTCCCGACTTCGTGATGCTGGCGGCGGACACCACACACGCCCGCTCCATAATCGTCATGAAAGAGGGTAAGCCCGTGGGTCGGGATTTTCTTGGCGGCTTGGGTCTCATTTTGCGACTATTTCTTTTTGGAAACACATTGCAGATCTGAACAAAATCCACAAGGTTTCGGATAATCTGCTTATATCGACCGTCGGCGAATCGGGCGACACGGAGCAGTTTACCGAGTTCATTTCGAAGAACATAGCCCTGTACAAGATGCGCAATGGCTACGATTTGAGTCCACATGCTTCCGCTCATTTCACGCGCAAGAATCTGGCCGAATATCTTCGCAGTCGCACGCCCTATCAGGTGTTTATGTTTGTGGCCGGGTAAGCATCTTGCAATCACTTAATCCTTTTCTATTTACTCATTGTATTTGTAACCATCCAGCTACGATGCCATCGAGGGCCCCGAGCTGAACTTCATTGACTACCTGGCCAATGCGATGCCCGTGAATTATGCCGGTCATGGCTATGGTGCCATCTTCGCATCCAGCATCTACGATCGCTACTGGCACCCCAACATCACCCAGGACGAGGCCTACGAGGTCTTCAAGAAGTGCATTGCCGAGATCCAGAAGCGGCTGGTCGTCAACCTCAAGAACTTCACTGTCTCGGTGGTGGACAAGGATGGTGTGCGGGAACTGGAACCCATCAGCTCCGCCAGCCTGGCCGCTTAGTTAGTTTTCGATTTGGGCATTCTAAATGCACGGTTTTGTAATAAAATGCGTCTGGATTTTGGTACGAATATGAAATGGTGGATGATATTATTTCAAACCAACTTAACTTAAGAGATATGTTTTTCTTTTGACCTGGTTTAGTTGTCTTTTGTTAATCGGTCTACGCAAAATAACAAAATAATTGGAATTATAATCTTTCAATTATTTTGTGATTTTGCCAAGGTCCATTAATTTTTATTTCAAAAATATTTTTTGTTTTAAAATTTTAGTAGGAACATTTTTTTCTACGCAAAATCACAAAATAATTGGAAGATTATAAACAAGGAACATTAATTTTTTATTTCAAAAATATTTTTTCTTTTAAAATTTAGTAAGAACATTTTGTTTACGCAAAATCACAAAATAATTGGAAGATTAAAAACAAGGATCATTAATTTTTTATTTTTAAAATTTTAGTAGGAACTTTTTTTAGTATTTTTCCTAGTACAATTAGCAGTCACACTAAAAGTTGTTACACAAAATAAATAGTATTTTTAACACAAAATGAGCCTCGAACAACAGCCAATTATAGACCCGCACAATCCCCATGGACTTGGTGAGTCCTCAGAGTAAACAAATAGGCCAACATACTAATAATCCTCCCGGTAGGTGATCCCAACGATACGAGGTTGCGCAAGGTTGAGCGGGAAGTACTGATACCCAAGATAATGCGGGATCGTGCCAAAGCGGAATTCTGCTCGAAGGAAGTGGCCGATTTCCAGGAGTGCTGCAAGGCCAGCAGCATACTAATGGTGGCCACCTGCCGCAAGCAGAACTCGGCGCTCAAGGAGTGCCTCACCCAGTGGTACCAGAACGAGGCCTTCAAGGAGGAGTGCAAGCAGATATATCTCCAGGAGCGGGCCGACTATCGCAGCACCGGCATACCCAAGAAGCACCGGCTGGAGAAGTTATAGAATATATGTAGTAGTTCCCTATTGTTGTTTGCTTTGTACAAAAGTTAAGTAATTGAAACGCCGCACAATTGTCTCTGTCACTGTGGTCTCCTGCAAGTCTTTGGTAGTCGCAATATCTTTAGGTCTATGGACAGTTAGGAGCAGCACATCCTTATCCGAAGTTTCGGCCACGCGTTGAACGCCTTTCAGGTTCTTTGACTGGTAGTAATCTGAATCGCAGGGAGTTTGAACTATAACCAAGAAGCTGGCGTGGTACAAACGAGGACTCTGCTTGTAGACAACTGAAACGGTGTTATAACTAAGTAAATATTTCGGAATTCTAGAGCGAAACACTTACGAAAATCACCGCCAAACTTGATGCCACTCTTGATCACCCAGTTCTTGGACTTTAAATAGATATAGCAGGCCAGGTTTTCCAAAAATCTTTCATTTAGCTTTAGGGCTGTCTCCGTAAAAAGCTGATAGTCCATGGAACTGCCGGCCAAGTTGGTTATCTCTAAAATGTTCAAGTAGTAGGCCAGGAAACAGGACTCCTCCAGGCCCAAGAGCAGCGTTTCATCCTCGTCTCCAGATGCCGGTCCTCCGCGGGATTTGCTTCCCTTGCCATAGCAACCATTGTCATACAGCGATTTGGCCTCAACGGGGTCTATTATCTCCACGGAGAGACCTGTGAATCTTCCCTGATAGAATTCTCCATTTTCTACACTCGGAAAAGGCGCGAAACTTGAGTTTTTATTATAACAGCGCTTTCTTTTGCATGGAAATGTGAATTGCATTTTGTTTAGTTTTGGAAAAATATGAAGGCAATAAAAATACCAGAAAATATTTCTCACCAGATGGTATGTATATTTCAACATCCTATTTACGGTTACACTAAAATAATGGTAAACAAATAGCGCTTTAAAAAATTTCCCCAAAGGTAACTTTAATTTAATAGTATAGTTAAGACCTGTTTTAATCACTTGTTTTCAGAAAAATGGATGGTGACGAAGTATGTCGGGTGTGCCTGCAACAGGATGGGGATCTGATCAACATATTTGACAGTATGCAGGACCCGGAGATGTCCATTCCGGATATGATTGCCCAGTGGTGCGGCTACCAGGTTGAGAGGGGCGACTTACTACCGGAGACCATCTGTCCCACCTGCCTGGAGGATGCCCGAGCCACAATTGGAATAATCCAAAATATTCAGAAGAAGGAAATCAGCAGAATCTCGGCCAAAGAGGACTGGCTTTACGGCCAACATACAGTTAAAGTGGAATCGAATATAGCCCAGGAATACCAGGTCAAAAATGAGCCCGTTGACGATGACATATTCACGGAGGCAGCCTTCAAGGGAATGGATAGCTCCCTATTTGAGGAAGATGTCTGCAAGATTGAAGACATGGAAACTGATCAATCTAATAGCCTTAAGTCTATGCTATCTGCTTCAGATCTGGACAATATACCCAAACTAAGAGACCCACCTTCTCGGGGGAAACGTCGTTACAAGTGCTCACTGTGCCCCAAATCTTTTGCGGATGCCTCGCAGTTCAGTCAACACATTGTCACCCATTCGGGCGATAAAGCCGATGGCCAAAAGTCGGATTTTTCTGAATCCGATTTCAGCGCCGCTGAGTTCGAAGAGGACGATTATTATCCGGACTCTGAGACAGAATTGCCTCCAAAGAAGTCAAAGGATAAGCAGCCCCAAAAATCGTTGACACCCAAAAAAACACATTTAAAGCAACACAACCCAAGCCATTTGCATGATCAACTTGATAAATCCCAATGTAAACCCACTCTTTACATGCCCTACAAATGTAATTATTGCCCGCAAACTTTTAAGGACAAGGATTCCTATAGATTGCACTCAAAAACGCATGGTAAACAGTACAGATGTTCCGACTGTCCAAAGACTTTTGCGAAGGCAAAGCATTTGAAGCAGCACATTTTAAGTCATTCAGAGGACCAATCAGATAAGCATAATTCTAATCCTTCGGATCCTCCAAATCGGGTGTTCAAATGCCCAAAGTGCCCCAAAACGTTTCCGTATGCCTCGAGTTGCAGTCGCCACCTGATGAGTCACTCGGAGACAAGACCGTACAAATGTCCCCAGTGTCCAAACTCCTACGCACGTCCCTATGCCCTCAGAGCCCACTTTTCCAGCCATTCCGGGGAGCGACCGTTCAAGTGTGATCAGTGCCCGAACACCTATCGTAAGGCCCACCATCTCAGGCACCACCTGTTGACCCACTCCAACGAAAAGCCGTTCAAGTGTTCCCAATGCAGCAAGGCCTACGCGGGCAAATCGGATCTCAATCGACATCTTCGGACGCACGCCAAAGTGAAGGCCCACAAGTGTGATGACTGCTCGAAGACCTTTTCCCGCGTTGAAACTCTAAGAGTTCACATGCGAACCCACACGGGCGAAAAACCCTTTAAGTGCGCCCACTGTTCGAAATCTTTTTCGGTTAGAACCAATATGTATAAGCACCAAGGGCAATGCAAACTTGAGAAGACAAAGCGTGACTGATAATTGTTTTTAAATATAATACAACAAACCTTATTACTTTGGTAACCTGTAACTAACTAAACTTAATGGATTTATTTCTTGATTAAAAAGAAGCATTTTTATATTTTTTTCCTTAAGTTTTTGAGCTGTGTTAAAGTTAATAATATATTAAATAACTAAACTTAATGGATTATTTTCTTGATTAAAAAGAAGGCATTTTTATATTTTTCAATCAATTACAAAATTGGATGTACACTTCCTTAAGTTTTTGAGCTGTGTTAAAGCTAATAATATATTAACTAACTAAACTTAATGTATTATTTTATTGATTAAAAAGAAAGCATTTGTATATTTCTTCATCAATTACAAAATTCGATTGACATTTTCTTAAGTTTTCGAGCTGTGTTAAAGCAAATAATAATAATAATATCATTCAGCTCCTATAGGAGCAATGTGTTAAAAATTACGATTTTTCAGTTTTTTATGCAATTTGAGAAGTTGTTATTAACATTAAACTTTGGAGGCCTTTTTTTATGTATATCACGATCAGGAAAAAAATATTCCCGATTGGGTAACTAACTATCATTAAAACAATAAAAATGATAAAAAATATGACTTTTTTAAAGCTATTATCCTATAGCCCTTTGATTAATGTTTTATATTTTCAGGAAATCTGCAAAGGAATCAAAACTTCTGCTTGACAAAGTTAGCGTTTCTTCGTTTTAAACTAAATTCCGTTTACAAATAAAAGGTTTTGTTTCATCACAGTCATTCACCCTCATGGCACCCATATAGAGAACAACGCAGTGCATATTATCGTTCCAATAATCGGGTTCCCCAGGAGACCACTTTAAATAGGGAACTTGGTTGTCGGTATCCGGATATACAAAGTTCCTCTTTCTGTCCCTGTCGTTGACACCCAGCCAATATCGGACATTGTAATAGGCTTTCGGTGTAAAGGCCACCAGCTCTTCTTCGTTCTCGAAGGTCGCCAAATGCCCCCCATGATCTATGCAGAACCTTTCAGCATCGAGCCAGGATTTCTTCATAAAATGGTGGATAAGGAAATATCTTGATTTCACTTTCTGAAAGAATGAATTAATCTTAAGAATATGCATTATGTCTGCTAATTGCCCATCCAAACTGGTCTGAACACATTGCAGTTTACTTTCTAGAGATGATTGCTTGGATTCCTGTTGGATTAAGTTATTTAAAGATTCTTCTATCCTCCTCAGCCTTGCATCTCTGGACTCCAGAGATTCCTTTACCTCGGATTCTTGCAAGGCTGTCTGCGATGTCTGGGTTTCCTTAATTGCTGAGAGGTGGTTATCCATCTTGAGCTGCAGAGATACCAGTTCATTTCCTAGTTCTGTAAGATGAGACTCCGTTCTGTAAAGTTTATTCACAACGTCTTGAAGAATAACATCCTTGGAATCCAGGGACGACTTTACATTGGTCACAGATTCTTGCAGGGATGCCATCTGGATTTGTATCTGATTCTTTTCCGCACGGGTGTCGTTCGCTATAATCGCCTCACAGGTTTTCCATCGATCCTGGTTGGCAGCAAAGTAATCCATCACTGGCCTCAACGTAGAGAAAAAGTGACCGCTACATCGGGATTTCAGGTCCTTCAATTCCTTTTCAGGACTCGGAATTTCTGCGGATCCTCCCAGAGATCCATTCAGATTTTTAGTAATTAAACTAAAGACCAGAAGAGCTGCGAGCTTACACATTTTATACCTGCTAAGCAAGTGGCCCCATTTTATACAAGCGATCGCTTATATATAAAGAATTTGGTTTTTATGGCACTCAAAAAATTATTCGCCCTGAATTAGATAAATTTGCTTCAATGTGTTTGTTTTTATATTTTATAAAAAAAGTCTTTTATTTAGAAAATTCCATTTATTTAAAATAAATTTCTTTGTAAGTATATATGTATTTTTTCTAACTTATCGGAAAAATTACCATTAATGCAAATTTGTAGAACTTCAGAGCGAACATTTTTTTGACTGTGGAAATTCACATATTTTATTATAAAAACAACACTTATTATTTTGAAGACTTTTTTATTGCTATTTTTGTATTCATTTTCCCAGGAAATATATGTATATAACAACATACATATGGGCACTTCCAAAAAAAAGTCCACCAAGCCAAAAACCTTAAAACTTGAATAAAACATATTTCCGCATGATTTTGCCCCGATATTAGTTTCTAATTAGTTGGATACTGAGCTTAACTACAAATTTGGAGTATAGTTTGATTATTTTTATGACAAACTCCACCAATATACGCAAAAATCAGTTTTTGGCTATTTTTTTGTTATTTTTTGGACCTGTCTTCTGTTGTTAATTTATCCTATAGGAATGCTAATATGTGACATTTTTCTGTACTGAATGCTTCATTCACATGCTAAAGTATTAAGTTAAAAGCAAAACATCCAGCAATTGAGAGATAGAGGTAAAGAAATTCGCTGTACAAAACCGTCGGAAAAAATGTCCCGAGCGACATGTCCCGAGCGAATGTGGTTGAAAATGCATAAAAAAAAAAGGCAAAGAATTTTTTGAGTAAAACCAAAAAGCATTTCACAGCGACATGTTTGAACAACATTCTAAAAAAAATCGCATTAAAATATTCCATCAGAATTCGCTAATTTCTGGTGTTGTATGAACTTCCCCGAAATCCACTTCTATTTTTGTCCCGAGCGAATACGGCAGTTTTTTACCGATATCTTAAAAACTAAAAGTGGTACAAAATCAAGATTTTTACCAAAAATAGAGCTTGGGAAGAGTGAAAAGAAAAGCCCATAATTAAAATTAAAATCCATTGTTTTACAATTTTTTTTCAACTTTAAATGTGTGCAAATGTCCCGAGCGACATTTTGGAAGTGCCCATATCTAGACTAAATCTACAACATTGGAAAATAAAACAAATTTTAAAAAAGTCAAGCAGCCAGCACCAATAAATTTCATTCTTTCTCCTAGCGAAACTCTTTTACTCCTTATTATCTTTAGTGTAATTAGAACCCAAAAGAAGAACTGTCCACTAATATAGTAAAATTTGTTATAAATTAAATCGCATTTTCTAAAATGTTAAAAAAATTCAATACCCAAATGTAGAAAAAAACATGGTAATACTGTAGTTTAAGGGACTAGTTAATTATGGGATTAGTTAAAATAATATTTTTTTTTGGTTTTTCAATCAGTATATTTGAGTATTTGTTTTTATTCTGTAAACTAAATTTCGTTGCCTATTTGACAAATTACAGGGTTTTTATTATGACATTCATGCACCCTCATGGCCCCCTTATAAAAGACGACGCAGTGCATATCATTATTCCAATAATCGGGTTCACCCGGAGACCACTTCAAATAGGAAACTTTCCTGCCAGTGTCCAGATATACGAAATTCCCCTTTCTGGCCCTGTCGTTGGCTCCCAGCCAATATCGGACATCGGGATCGACTTTAGCGCTAATGGCCATTAACTCTTCATTGTTTTTAAAGGTCGCCAGATGTCCGCCCTTTTCTACACAGAAGTATTCGGCATCCCTCCAGGATTTCTCAATATCGTGGTTAAAATAGAAATATCTAGATTGGATTTTCTTAAAGTTCATACTTAATCTAAGTGCGTGCAATATCTCTGCTAATTGCTCTTCCAAACTGATCTGAATTTTACTTTCTAGGGCAATTTGCTTCTCCTCGGAGTCCTGTCGGATTAGCTTCTGTAAGGATTCTTCCATCCTCTGCAGTCGAACATCCTTGGAATTCAGATCAGCCTGCAGCTTGTCGATCGCAGACTCCTGAATTTGGTTCCGACTAAGTATCGCCTGAAGTCCGTCAGCTTGAATTTTCAAATGGTGTCGAAGGTCTGCCATGTGCTCAAATACAGGGTGCAGAGCTGCATGAACAAAAGCCCCGCACTGAGTAGGTGCATCTTTGAGTACGCACACTGAACAAGTTTCTCCAGATGCGTCCTGCAACACGACCACACCACAGAGATTAAATGCAAGAAAAGCACAATATAATAAAACGACTGCCTTTGTCATTTTAGGAACTCTGATAAAGTCCAGTGTTTTGAATGAACTGATTTATAATTTATTTTCTGAAACTGAAATATGCTTCACTACGCTGATAAGCATACATATACCATACGGTTTCGATTTATTACAGTTCTCAGTAATATTCACCAAGATAAGACGAAAACAAGAGAGAACGCTATAGTCGGGTGCCCCGACTATCAGATACCCGTTACTCAGCTAAAGGGAGTGCGAAGGAGATGGAGATAAAAACTTTGATCCGCCGTAACTTTTTAACGAATGGTCCGATTTAAAAAATTTCTTCTACATTTCGATAGGTATTCATAAACACAATAAAACTGCATTTTTACTTTTCCGAAATATTGAAATTTTTAAAATCGTATATTAGCGATTGTGGGCGTTAGAGGAGGTGGTGCACCCTTTTGAAACAAACTTGCGCTGCGTAGGAACTCCTAGAATCTGCATGCAAAATGTCAATCTTCTAGCTTTTATAGTTTCCAAGATCTCAGCGTTCATACGGACAGACAGACAGACGGACATGGCTATATCGACTCGGCTAGTGACCCTGATCAAGAATATATATACTTTATAGGGTCGGAAATGCTTCCTTCTAGCTGTTACATACTTTTGCACGAATACAATATACCCTTTTACTCTACGAGTAACGGGTATAATTATTATTAGCAAAGCGACATTTACATTTTAAATTTTTACTCGGGAATACTCTTATCAGTTTTGCAGTTCCGTCTGTCCGTCCGTCTGTCCGTTTCTACGCACACTAGACTCTCAGTTTTGAAGAAATCGGGATGAAACTTTCCCAAAAGTCTTCTTTCTATTGCATAAGTCGAAACCAGACGGATCGGACAACTATATCTTATAGCTGCGAGACTAATTTCATCGGACAGGTCCTCACATTTATCTTAAAAACAGGTCAAGTCAAACACTAATAGAAAGTTAAAAATTAAATCTAACTTTCTAAAACACATGGTAATACAATAGTTTAGGGGACTCACCCCAAATTAATTTATTAAAATTCAATTTCTTTATGTTTTTCAATCAGTATTATTTAAGTATTTGTTTTTATTTTTAAAACTAAATGTCGTTTCCTATTTGACAAATTACAGGGTTTTCATTATCACATTCATTCACCCTCATGGCGCCCTGATAGAAGACAACGCAGTGCTGTCTATCGTTCCAATAATCGGGTTCACCCGGAGACCACTTCAAATAGGAAACTTTCCTGCCAGTGTCCAGATATACAAAATTCCCCTTTTTGGCCCTGTCGTTAACTCCTAGCCAATATCGGACATCGGGATTGACTTTTGCGCTAATGGCCATTAACTCTGCTTCGTTTTGAAATGTCGCCAAGTGTCCCCCCTTTTCTACACAGAAGAATTCAGCATCTCTCCAGGATTTCTCAATATCTCGGTTGAAATAGAAATATCTAGAATTGACTTTCTGAAAACTCATACTCAAGCTTAGTGAATGCATTATGTCAGTTAATTGCCCATCCAAGCTCATCAGCTTACTTTCTAGGGCGGATTGCTTATTTTCGAATCTACTGAGTCTCTCCTCGGAAACATGCGAGATTAGCTTCTTTAAAGACTCCTCCATCCTCTCCAGTCTTCCGTCCTTGGCCTCCAAACAAGACGTTACGTTAGTCACAGATTCTTGCAGGGATGCAAGCTGGATTTGGGTGTCGTTTGCTTTAGTCGCCTCACAGGTTTCCCATCGATTCTGGTTGACAGCAATGTAATCCATCACCGGCCTCAAATTAGTGAAGAAGTGTGGGATACAGCTGACTTCTAGGTCTATCGATTGACTTCCAGGATTCCGAATTTTTGTGGGTTCTCCCAGTGATCCAGTAACTAGAACGATGACCAAAATGGCTGTGAGTTTATTCATTTTTGTGATATTTCTTAATATGTCAGCTTAATCTTGAAGAATCAACTCCAGCTTTGGGGCTCGGGTGTTCCTTTTATAAGTAGCTGTGAGCGCTTACCAATAATGAAATTGGCGTTTTTGTATACGGTTCTCATTAACATTTATTTATGGAATTCATATTTTGTTTATTATTTCATTTCAGACTGTTGTGTAAAGTCTTGATTTAGTATTTGCCCAGATTCGACCTTATATAACCTTTTTCTTGGATATGCCAAGATACACCCAGAGAAATAGGGCCTATTTTTTAGGTAACAAATGATATAAAATTTTAAATGGACTAAAATTTGAGTAAGAGGTTTCCTAAAAATAACAAAACGCGTACTATTTTTCTACTTTTAAGGTAATAGTGCACTATTCTAAAAATAGATTTCCCCCAGGTCCTTTTAATGGTTTTTAAATAGTTCCGTAGGCCAAAGGCTAACCTAGGTAGGTATAGGACCCGGGGCTCGATTCCCACCGTGGAAATCTTCTTTAGAAATATACAATATTTACGTATCTGAATTATACAATATAAACAATTAAAATAATCAAATATGTGACTATCAATGGTAAAAATTTTGTGCGGGAGCACTACTGCTATTTTGACCGCAGATGTATGTTTTTGCGTTTTATGGCTATGTTTTCTTTTATTTTTTTTCCCCTAAAAAAAATCCTAAAAGTTTAACGTGGGAATGTGTAATGAGTTAAAATGTAATTAATGAATCTTAAAGGTAAGCAACGTAACGGATTAACGTAACATAACATAAAGGTATTTTCTAAAATAATTTTATGCCTCTATTTTGTATTAATTTCAAGTCACTTATGATTATGAAAATCATATGATTTTTAAATTCCCTGTAATGTTATAATTTGTAATTTTAAGTTCTAGTTCTCTCGCTCCTTTTGATAACACTTACGTTTCGATTGCCATTACGTTTTGGTTTGAGTCTTTGATTTGAAGTTTGATGGCACCTACTTTTTTGGTTGTGTTCCTTGCTGATTCGATTTTCGCAATCGACTATTCGATTGGACGCAAAAAAGTCACAAGACCAAGTCAGCTGAATTCTCGTCGTGAATTTCTGAATTTCGGTTGTGTCGCAGTAGTGTGAAAAACACTCGGTAATATTTGATAGATTTTCATAAATTCCGTGCCGAGCGTCGTCGAAGGAAAGCCCTCAAAATGACTACCGCCTTGTATTTGCCCGAGGAGAACATTGGTGAGTTTTCCGCCCCCCCGCAATTCGCCCGTCGACCTCTGGTGAAAAATCGAACTGCGAGTGTGTGGGTGCGTAGGGTGGTTCGATGGGTGTCCAGCGAAGCACCCCATTATTATAACTTGCATTATAACTCCCCCCTTGGATAATTCCCGCAGATATGATTGCTGCCACCTCGGTGCTGCAGCAGCAGGCGGCGGACATCCGCACCAGGACGATCAACTGGGCCTCCTACATGCAGTCGCAGATGATCAGCGAGGAGGACTACAAGGCGATCAGCGCCCTGGACAAGTCACGTGCCAGCTATTTGGCCCAGAACTCCAGCCAGGTGGTCAAGACGCTGCTCAATCTGGTCTCGCACCTGTCCAAGGACTCCACCATCCAGTACATACTCGTGCTGCTCGACGATCTGCTGCAGGAGGATCGCTCCCGCGTGGATCTCTTCCACGAGACCGCCGGCAAGCTGAAGCAGTGCATCTGGGGACCCTTCCTCAACCTGCTGAACCGCCAGGATGGCTTCATTGTCAACATGTCGTCGCGCATCCTCGCCAAGTTCGCCTGCTGGGGCCACGAGACCATGCCCAAGTCCGACCTGAACTTCTACCTGCAGTTCCTCAAGGATCAGCTGGCCAGCAATGTGAGTCTGCTTGTTTGTGGCAGGAGGATGAGCATGTTTATGTTGTCCGTGATCTGTAAATGAAGCCAGGAGAGCATGTGGAGAATGTTACCGTGTATATCTAGCACTTTTTTTAGAAGTTCTTGCATTGGGTAAAGGTTTTTAAAACCAAGAATGGGATGCCCAGTGCATATATTGCTTCTTATTTCATATACAGTCGAAATTTGTTAGTTTAAAACGTAGTTTTTGCACTGAATTTGTTTCAAAAGAGAGTGGAAAGCTTTTAAACACCTCTGGATAAAATATGATTTAATTCAGTGCTAATTTATTTTGTATATAGACCAAATTTTCTACTTTTCTCAATGATTCAGTTTTCTAAGCAATTCTTGCATTGGTTGAAGGTTTTTAAAACCAAGAATGGGTTGCCCAGTGCAAATATTGCTTCTTATTTTATATACAGTGGAAATTTGTTAGTTTATAACGTAGTTTTTGCACTGAATTTGTTTCAAAAGAGAGTAGAAAACTTTTAAACACCTCTGGATAAAATATGAATTAATTCAGTGCTAATTTATTTTGTATATAGACCAAATTTTCTACTTTTCTCAATGATTCATGGGTTTTTAAATCAGGCACTAGCTAAAAGCATGTGATATGTAGCTTAAAGAGATAGCATGGATCTCGCTTGGTGCAGTTTTTTTTTACCATTTCAATTGCCAAACCGAATTAGAACTTATACCTTAACCCTTTTCAATACATAACTCACTTGATCTCAGTAAATTGCCTAACTCTACGCAAAGCTAACCTTATAATCAGCTTCCTGCATGTATATATATTTCGATTAATTAATTCTATTTAAAACCAAACCTCGTATAAGACTAAAAGCCAAACACAACTGACCTCGTCTTGGTGAAATACTCGTGAAATCTCTGCAAATGAGGAGTCTAAACAAAGAGTTTGTAACTACATTATGCCATACATCAGCACACCCAGAATCTTGTCACATCCTATCCGAGCCTTATGTTATCCCGGATATATTATATTCGCCACCTCACCCCTCCCGATCATCACGTGCAGTCGTGTGTCATGCGTCATGTGTCACATATATAGCACCAGAATATAATATTGTTATTTACCTTGTGTTCTTGTCCATCAAACGTATTTATCTGTTCCGCTGCACTTGAACCCTGTGAACGATTTTAATTTATATGCAATTTACCATCTATGAATCGATCGAATCGATTGAATCGATGTCCACGAACCGACCCACGACCTCTGATCCCACCCTAGGGCTTAGCCTATCTGCAAGAGATGGCCCAGCTGGCCAAGCGGACACAAACGATCATTGTGCACACGCATGGACAGCATGGCAAAGACAAAGACCACCATGGCCACCAGTACAGTCCCACTCTGGCCCAGCTGCAGCAGCAGCACGAGCTGGCCGAGAGGGCCAACGAGAGCTATCGGGAGGTGGGCGGTAGCAGTGACCACCAGCAGCTGGACGGCAAATGTGTGATACCGGTATTCCAAACAACTAAACCCAAAAAAACCAAACTCGCAGCAATCCTCTCGCCGAAACAAACCAAAACATCCACTTACCCACCCACAAAAAAACCAAAAACACACACAAAAACACGAATAAACTATCAAACAATTATGGGCACACGAGGGAACACAGTCGATAAGCTCAGTTATAATATATAATTGTAAATATTTTAGAAAAATAATGATAATTAATTCTTTTGCCTCTCAAATTCGATACAAACTACTACAAAAGTTCTTCTGAAGTTTAAAAGAATGTCAAACCATACATCTTAATTATTATAGTTTAAAGAAATGCCTCTTTCGACTGTGATCCGTGTGTTTGTGTGGTATTTCTTAGTCTATTTCGTAACTGTTTACTAACCCGACTAATAGCGCGTGAGAAAACAGCAGGAGAATCCGGCGCGAAGGACCAAGCGACCAGTGTTGTCAAGCAGTGTATAAAGCATATCAGTGTGGTGTAACGGTAATTCTAGGTCTAGGTGTTGGTTAAAACTACACGAAAATCAACCAAAATTACACAAAGATAAACCGATGGCATAAGGTGAACTGTTCGAACCCCCCATTGATGTTGCATATACTCAACTCTCTTTAAATGTTGTCCACTCTCTATTTCACTATATTTCTCCTCTTGTACGTAGCTTATAGTAATTATCGTTGTTGTAGCTAGCGAAAAAATAGAATCCAGCTGATATCGTCATAACTAACAAAAACCTAACCAATGAAAAGTGAGATTAAATGCGAGAATAAGCTAATGGGAAATTTTTTCAACATTAATAGAACAACGAATACATCCAGTCGGTGGCCCGCTGCCTGCAGATGATGCTCCGCGTGGACGAGTACCGATTCGCCTTCGTGGGCGTCGACGGAATCAGCACTCTGATCCGCATCCTCTCGACCCGCGTCAATTTCCAGGTGAGTTTGAAATTGAAATGCGTAAATTGTTTGGTACAATTTAAATTCGATTTCTTATTCATAGGTGCAATACCAGTTGATCTTCTGCCTGTGGGTGCTGACCTTCAATCCCCTGCTGGCCGCCAAGATGAACAAGTTCAGCGTGATCCCCATCCTGGCCGATATCCTCAGCGATTGTGCCAAGGAGAAGGTGACCCGCATCATCCTCGGCGTCTTCCGCAATCTGATCGAGAAGCCGGAGGATTCATCGGTGGCCAAGGACCATTGCATCGCCATGGTCCAGTGCAAGGTGCTGAAGCAGCTATCCATTCTTGAGCAGCGTCGCTTCGACGACGAGGACATCACCGCCGATGTGGAGTACCTCAGCGAGAAGCTGCAGAACTCGGTGCAGGACCTGAGCTCCTTCGATGAGTACGCCACTGAGGTGCGCAGCGGTCGCTTGGAATGGTCGCCGGTCCACAAGTCGGCCAAGTTCTGGCGCGAGAATGCCCAGCGCCTGAACGAGAAGAACTACGAGCTGCTGCGCATCCTCGTCCACCTGCTGGAGACCTCCAAGGATGCCATTATCCTGTCCGTCGCCTGCTTTGACATCGGAGAGTATGTGCGTCACTATCCCCGCGGCAAGCAGTGAGTATATATTTTATTTTATTTTTAAAACACCTTACTAATAAACTCCTGCTTCTTAGTGTGCTGGAGCA